TGCTTTCCCGTTCTTGATTTGTCTGACGGCCATTCTAATTTCTTCCATCGTTGGTGGATTGACATCTATAGGAAGATCTGTGTGTGCTGCTTCGACGTCCGGTGGATTCATTGGAGCCGGCCTATTCAGGAGTTCCTCGAAGTATTCTACCCATCTGTTACGCTGTTGTTGGATTTCAGTGATTGGCTTGCCTTCTTTGTCTTTGACCGGCCTCTCTGGTTTACTGTATTTCCCTGCTAGTTTCTTCGTTGTATCGTAAAGCTGTTTCATATTTCCTTCTCTAGCAGCTTTTTCTGCCGTCGTTGCTAGTTCTTCTACGTATTTCTTCCTGTCGGCTTTAACGCCCCTCCTCACTTGCTTGTTTACTTCTATGTATTCAGCTTGTGCTTGGACTTTCTCTGCTCGTGTTCGGCTGTTGTTAATTGCTGCCTTCTTGTTCTTCCTTTCTTTGATCTTATCCAGTGTTTCTATAGAGATCCATTCCTTATGATGGTGTTTCTTTAGACCGAGAACCTCTTGACACGTTGAAGTTAATGCTTCCTTGATGCCTTTCCAGTTGTCCTCCATAGTAGTTTCTTCTTCCTTCAGTAGATCCTGTAAAGCTTGGAACCTGTTGTTGGGAGCTATCTTTAATTCGTTGATTTTGTTAGTATCTCGAAGGAAGGCTGAATTGAACCATTGTAGTGCTGTTTGTCCACTTGTCCAGTTCTTTTTTAGCTTCAGTTTCAAATTGGCTACAACTAGGTGGTGATCCGAAGCTATATCAGCTCCTCTCCTGGTTCTTACATCTTCCATTGTCCTTCGGAATTTTTTATTGATGCAAATATGATCTATTTGGTTCTCTGTAGTGTGGTCCGGTGAGATCCATGTAGCCTTGTGTATACGCTTGTGTGGAAATATTGTACCTCCTATGACCAATTTGTTGAATGCACATAGATTTGCAAATCTTTCTCCATTTTCGTTTCTTTCTCCCAGTCCATGTCGTCCCATAATATCTTCATATCCAATGTTGTCTATTCCGACTTTGGCATTTAGATCTCCCGTTAGAATGGTGAGGTCCTTTCTTTGGCATTTCTCTATCACTGACTGCAGCCGCTCGTAGAATTGATCTTTAATGTCGTCGTTGCTATCATTGGTGGGTGCATAACATTGGATAATATTCATTGTGATCCCCTCCTTCTTTGTTTTGAATGATGCTTTGATGATTCTGGATCCGTGAGATTCCCATCCTACAAGTGCATTTCGTGCTACTTTGGACAGCATAAGAGTGACTCCCTGAGTATGTGGAGCATTGTCCTCTTCGTGACCGGAGTATAGCAGCATCTCTCCCGTAGCTAGCCTTTTCTGTCCAGCTTGGGTCCAGTGGGTTTCGCTGATTCCCAGTACTGCTAAGTTGTATCTCCTCATTTCCATTGATATTTGACTGGTCTTCCCGGTTTCCCACATTGTTCGAACGTTCCATGTACCTATAAAAATTTTTGCTCTGGTTGTTAGAAGGGGCATCGGCCTCGTGGCTTCCGAAGGAGCTCGGCTTTCACCATGAAGCGTCATAATTCTTCTAAATGAAGACCTTCTAACTCCCAGGGCAGACTTAAAATGGTTTGGATTATTTTTTCTGGTAAGCGTTTTTTTAGCGAGTTAGTTTTCTACGGGATGGGGACGCTAACCCCATGCCCAACCCTCCTCCTTTACCCGGGCTTGGGACCGGCAGTAACTCTGGAAGCGCTACAGGCGGAGTTGGAAATTCTGATGGCAGTTGACAACAAGCTCTCATTTGACCAGATGTGTTCAGTCTTCATAAAGTTGATATACATCTTGAGAAGCATATTTACTGATAAATAATGTTATAAAACCTGTATGCCATATGTATCAAATGTTATCTTAAAGACAAGAAATAACACTGTATTCGGGTGTTGGTACGTACTTTTGTATTTCACAATGTCATCCGTACATCCACGTCCAGGTCGGAAACTAGCCTGGTTTCCTCGCGTTTTGCATTGATGTACCGTACTTGGTCGTCAGAAGATCGCAATTTAATGAAATTGTTAACTAATGAACAAAACACAATCTATTTACGAGAAAATGATGGAGTACCAACTGGACTTCTTAATTTAACTCTCTGTAATCACTAAAAAATTCAAATAAACAATGTCTTACACTACTAACAAATGCATGTAAGTAGTCATAGTTTTTTTATTGAAACTAATAAGTCTTTCCATTTATCCTCAGTAGTCAGAATTCATTTATGTTCAATGGTCAATAAAAACCAACGTTATTGAAATTTTAATTCATAAGTCGGATCATGTAGAGATAATATACAAACATCAAGTACTAGATAGATTTTTTAAAAAATTTTATTGTTAAATCAGCATATGAAAGTAAACAGCATTCCCTTCCAGATGATCTAATTGGGAAAAGTATTATTGTTTCAATTTACAATAAAAGGTCTTCTAATATGTTAAAGTCATTACTATTTAAAATGGATTTTAATTTCATTGAAATATACATTAATCACATTAGTTAATCTTATTACTTAGATTATCATTTAACACATTAGATTTACCTAAAAATTATTACTACAATTAAGTTTATATGAATAGATTTTACATAACTACTATATGAATTTGTCGACAAAATTTTCTCGTCCACCTTCTATATTTTATTTTCATACAAGTGAAGTTCACAAAACAGTGATTTATCTAAAAAGCGGTTCTTTATTCAACAATTTCAATAAATTAGTCACAAATCTCTTCTTGTGAGGCATCTGTAGCATTGACCGCGTCTGAAAGTCTGGAATGAATTTAGGCTTCCTGGAATAACATAACGAATAATTAAAACATACGATAGTGCAAATGACAGCTGATTGCTGTCTAAACTTGATAACAGTTTATCAACAAGCGAAAACGGAACCAAGAACAAACAATAAATAAGGGTTAAACGACTATACATAATTGAAAATAACTGTTAGAAGGATTGAGACAAAGTGAATATAACAAAAAATGCAATAAGTGCTATAAGTATTTGTAAATATTTTAGAATACTGCACTAAAAACTTGTGCTACAACATACGTGTAGAAATTACTAGGAATTCAACTGTTTACTGAATATTAATAAGTAGTATGAAACAAGGCACAAAGGAGTTGGAGAGAAGTGAATAAAGTTTTGTGACCCTGAATCTGACTCCAATTCGATCGTATGTTGATCGCTATAGAAATAAACACTTCGTCAATCCTCGTATATAATCATCGGATTGAATCGCGTTAGTGAATAACGGAATTAAATAAGTCGAATTCGTGAATGAAATTCCAATGAGTATATTTCATGCAATCGTTGATCTGAACAAACAATCAAGGAGATGGAGAGAAACAAAACTAAATGATGCGCAGTGAAGAAAATAAGTGAGCCAACTCAATTTAGCCAAGCGTGAATCGAACAAAAATAAGTTACGGATATGTGATGGATAGGATCAGAAGTGAACTCACATCGCTCATATGATTAGTATGATTACTAAGCGAATAATTGACAAGGTCAAAATATGACTCAAGACAAATGAATAAATTGGCTTGTCCGGAAGCTAGAATAAACTATGTGGGATTAACATAGCAACTGACACTACAAAGGATGGAGAACGCAAACAGAATAGACAGTTTCAAATATAATTAGAAAGAACAAATTTAGGTATTTTTTTCGACACATCAACTCCTTATGGCCATGATTCAGTTTCATCATAAGTTTTAACATGAGATGTTATGGGGGGCTAACCAGTACAGTCTCCATTATAAACTAATGTCTCTAAAGACTTCATTGGTATCCAATGTTGTTAGAATTTAAGTCTTCCAAGATTTCGTAGTGTACCTCTATTATGCTTCTTTACAGGACTCTACCCAAGACATTTGCAACTTATGACGAGTAGACCATTAATCATATATTGGTTCGAAACTCGGCAATTGTTTTTTCCAAACTTAATCATCTGAGAGTAAAATATGTCAATACACGTCATAACCTATTATGCACATTTTGAGTAGTGTTTCAGAAGGCGAAACGATAGCCAGTTAATTTATTTAGTCTGCTTATGTACTTATTTTCAGCTGTACCTTTTCTTCTCCTTTGTCAAGATTCACAGTTAAACAATGTTCTAACTGTACACAGTGTTATAATCATCATTGTTTCTTAGCTTGTTACATTGTTTTATAGACTTAGTACTATATTCTAAACTTTTATAAAATATCACTCATGGATTTATAACTGTAGAGTCTGATAAAATTGTTGAAACGATCATTCGCCGAAGGATCCTTCATTTCGAGTAAATAGTATTTCCAATCTATCATTTGACAACAAAAAAATATTTTTATCTGAAAAATTAAACAGTTAACGTGATTACTTATTTCAAGTTTAATTTTGCCATCAATAACACGTAAGCAAATCCTAAGCTATTGAAAACTTGTTACAATCAAGGTTAATTGCTAGAACAGTTTCAGGATATAGATGTGAACAACCAACCTTTATTTAAATTTGCTTTGCTGACATACGGCATCCCTCTTTAACTGCATTTCTTATTTTATGATTGTCTACAGTTGATTAGTCATTCAATGAAATTTGCTGTTGAGATGATTTGAATGACCTTGATATTGATTAGGATTAATCATCACTCTTCTGTTACTATTAGTTCCAATACATTAAACTGATTGACCAATTAGACGTTCTATATGCATTGAATTGATTGGCTAGTTGGGTTAGAGCGAAAGCATTTGTTATTGTAGCACTTCAAGATGGTCTCTTCTATGACTAACAAGCATCAAGAGCGTGTTACACACATGCAAGCACAGCAACAGCATACTTTTTTAATAAGTTACCTTGATATACAAACTCGACGACCTCGTATAGACTACGAAAATCAAAGCTGACGTAGACTTACACCGCAAACTTGTTTGTAGTTAGTCTCAGGAAGTTTAGTGACTTCCATCAATGTACAAGCAAGTTGGGTGCTTGTTCATCTTACAATGTTAGATGTTGATATTTTATGGAGGTCAGTCGGTAATATGAATGCGACGTCTATTAAGAACTTTCATACTCTAACGTACGATCTAGAAGGAACAGAAGCTGAAGAAACTATTATTGGTGGGAGTTCCACAGGACAAATGCATAATACTCTGGGCAATAATCTTAATCCTCATTCGGCTAAAAAAAATCACGATGATAAAGAAAAAAGACAACCAAACCATCGGTCAAGTTCAACAGAAGAGTCGAAACAAAACTTTACAACTGAGCTTGTGAATAAATCTAATGAGGGACAGTGGAATTTAATTAAAGTTCGTGTAGGTTTTGATGTTACACGTAAAGGTAGGTTCTGTGGGTTTTTCACTTGTCATATGTTAAGTAGGTGTTATAATATCAGATCTAATTTCACTACTAATGGCTTGTATTTATAAAATACAGATATTGTTGCAGCTATTATGAACCGGTTCATATTTATAAGAATTTGTATTTAGTTATCCATTCACTTGTAATTTGACTATTCAGATATTTGTCTGTAGTTGCAGTCTGAGGTATAAACTAGATGATCATAAAATGAAGTCGTTCGGTACTTGCATATAGCTTTGATGAGGTAGTTGATATTTAAAATCTATTGGGCTAAATTGGAAATTCTATCACGACTTATTGATCAACGATATTTGTTTACATAACTGTTCGCTAATTTATTCGACATTACTGTTAAATGTTATTTCATGTTCTAGTCGACCACGTTTCATCCAGTTCATATATAGACTATAGTCTATTCAGTTTTAAGTTTGAGTTTAGATTATTATTTAAGGTAGCAAAGAAATGTATTCTGTAACATGAACTGTTTATTTGCATTTCTTGATTGAAAGTTTTCATTACTTAAATATAAGTAACGTCCCTCTATTAGGTGACTTTTGTTTAATCTTTTGGTACAGTTTTAGGAAAGCGTGAAGAAAATTACACTTTATTTAAATGACTACACTCCATCTAATCAACATGAGGATATAAAAGACAAAAACTTAGAAAATGTTAGTTAATAATGAACGCGCACAAAATGTGATTTCGTTTATTAATAAACACAATAAATTGCTGATATCCCCAAAAAAATGTAGTTTAGTTGAGATTATCTACAGATTAGGTAAATTATTGAATAGGCTATGGAATTTTACCCATGGTACAAACATATAGGTATAGGCTACTAAGTCTTGTATTATTCACTATGGTCAAAATGTAATTTGCAATCTTTGTATGCAAATCAAAGACTCTACGCACACCAATTAACATGGAAAATAACTTCACTTTTAATCATGTTGATTTATACTATTTTAATTTATAGATTCGTTTTATTATTTCAAATATATAATACTCAGCATTGATAAACTTATCTCCTATATTCTTGAAATTCATCTTCTTGATAAGGTTAAAATGGATTGGCCATGAGATTCAAATTAAACATAATATTTTCCTATATAAGTGGGTATTATCAAATTCCTAACGTACATCTCACAGATATTTATACGGTTGATATTCTTCTATGACTACCATTCAATCACTTGACATTAATATTTAGTCAAAACTAATAAGAAAAAACTTATTACCCATTTATTAGTTTTTAACAAAACGATTGATAATTCCTACCTACAGCGTCTACAAGAACAAGCACAAATGATAGCTCAATTCGAATTGTCTTAAGACTATTATACCTCTTAGACGTGTTGCTATAACAGTTGAAACAAAAATTGTTTTTCATAGACAAATTTAATATATCTAATTACTTTGTTATTAAAATATATGAAGCAGTCACGTGGGAAAATATACCAATGATACATTCTTTTCTTAAATACGAATACTTAACTATATTAAATAAATACTGATGTTTATTTGGATTAAATTGATGTCGATTGTATAGATGAAAGTGAGTCGTTTGAAAAAAAATTGTTTATTTTTTACTGTAAACAAAGATGCAAACTACGAAAGAAACCTATTGAAACATTGTGGAACAAGTCTCTTTGACAACGACATTTACTGAAGCTGTACAAACGTGCTTCTAGTTATTTAACCTATAAAAGTTTATTATATATATTGCGTCATTCAAAAGTGCTTTGAAGTAATAAAATCTCAGATACTATTGTAGTGAATCAAATGGACTAAATATCGAAATTCTCCTCTTCACAACATTCCTGATACCTTATCTGTATATTCATACTTTTGATATTAATCCTATGATTTAATTGATTGTTGATTTTACATCATTTTCTCAGGTGAAAGAAGTCTAGTTATCAATGGATATAAATTTACAAAATCAAGAGATGGTATGGGTGATCGTGTATTTTGGCGATGTTCTCGTCGTGAATGCAAAGCTACAGCAGTTACTGTTTCAAATAAGGTAGAGCATATACGATCGATTCATTCTCATTTGCCACCAGTAGCTGCAGAATTTTTTTCTGAAGATTCTTCTCGTTGTGAACAAGAAGTGCGATTTAACAATTTAGTCTATACTCAACGTTCTCGCATCCGTAGACGTAGCCAACCGAGTCCTTCTATGAAACTATCAAAACAATCAGTAACGAAATCCTGTTTTCTTGAACAAATAAAAGAATTAGCCAACACAACTTCATGTTCTGTAACACCAAACGCAGTTTCGCATAAAAACTATTCTTCAAACCTAAGAAGTATGGATTGTTCAAATGATTTATGCATTGATTCAAGTGAATATGCATCTCCTATAAAGAAAAGACATTGTTCTGATCAAGACCTATCTGATTACTCAACTTTACAAACAATGTCTGCTCTTTTAACTAAATGGGTCGATTCGAAACAAGTGAATATAGGAAACGACGAGGCAAAAGTAAATTGTTTTACTGTTTTGGAAACGTTCATTTTTCTAATTTAAGATAATATTTCTAGTCAGAAACTTCTCTCAATTTTGCTTCCGAACATTGATGATATCTTGGTGGAAATATATTGGTTTCTTACTGACTAAAACCATTTTAAAAGACGAATTAAGAATGGTAACCATCATAGATCATACTGAGAACTAGTCTGTTCGAATGAAAAATGTTTTCGAAATGGCCTATGAAAATCCTGAGAATTTTCTCGCATTGGTTGTCTATAGCATGTATTATTACTGAAGAAATAGAGAATGAAAAGAAACAATCACACAGCAATCCAATTTTCCATGGTAGTTCTGTAGGTAAAAATAGGAGCAAGAAAGAGACATCTTTTGTCTGTGAACTGATAAAATATCCTACTAAATCATCTTTTTTTAACACCACTTCGGTCGTTTTGAAAACACGTAGACACTTGGGACAATGAACATCACTTTTCATTTGTGCCTATTCACCGACTACCCTGACGTCCGAGGAGGGCTGGTGCAATAGTAGACTTGAGGAAGACTGGGGACGTCCAGATCAGTCCATGAGTACTCTGACGTTTGGACTGATCCGTGTAGACAGGTGCAGACTACTCGGTTGGAGTCCACTCAATCATGTTAAACAATGGTTATAGACTTTGGATGGCATAGCTAAGAACAGTTAGGAATGAGGCAGGTATTCTCCTTCTTTACTTTCCCTTGGGTCATAAGTTTTTAAATTCCTTGGAAATTTTTTTATCTCACTAACTTATATTTTTCTGAGTTGTATCTTGGTTGCTAAATCTTATTATCGATAATACTGTCAGTACCTCAACTACTCTGGGTTTTTTCCTGACATTTTCATCTGTACGTGCTAATGGATGGTCGCAACTTGAGTCACTGTACATATATATGTACCAGTTTCTAAGTTATGAATGACTGACTGACTTTTGATTTGAATAAAATGAAGCCGCCTTATACCAATCAGACTAATTTATCAAGATATTAACTATTTTAAATCTTGAACCAATACTATACCGCATAAAATTGTCACTATAAAACAATGAACTGTAACTTTTAGTAAGAAAAGTATTCAATATCCTTGTCTAAATGTGTAGATGAAGTCAAAGAAAGTAATTGGGTAACCATTGTCTATAACCGTTACCGACACAGGATATGGCAGCTTTGTTGAACTGCTAGTATCTTTTCCATATTTCCGTGATATCAAAGAGATCTATTGTGCATAAATCCTGTGTTTGGCTTTTATTTTCTCGATTTCACCATTTTAAGGTAACTTTGAAGTATACACTAGATAATTATTTTTGTTTAAAATTAGCGTTATCTTCATTATTTTACGATTTAATCCGTCATTTTACTGTAGTCCAATTATGGTAATGGTAAATAATGACAATATTCTATCCTCAATTCATACTCATTTACAGAGATTCTCATTTATCATAAAACAAATTCAATTTTCGCTTCATACCACAACTTACAAGATACTACACTTCTATAGAAGTAAATCGATAGCGATGTTCGTATCTCAAATACACCCCTTTTCTCATGAAATTCCAGTAATAGTATAATCTCTACAAAATATGGGCAGTTTTACAAAACTGAGAACAGTTATCTGTTTAAAGACTATCATCATTCCCAAGTAGTAGTCCTTTTGTTAGTTCTTTTGAGGTTTCATATTAATGGCACCATTAGTAAAAATCCACTTTTTTCTGGTTTCTGGAAAAGGAGGATCATCCCATAGAATGGATAGCAGACAAGTTTCAGTCGCTTACATCCCTTCATTACCATAAGAGCTTTTTCTTGTGGTTGATAAAAATACTCTAAATTTCTGGCTTAATGGAATCCAATTCCAAAACAAACTTTCAACTTTGAGCCATTGCAAACTTGGACCTTTATGATTTAGAATTATAAGCGTTATCACGAAGTCGTTCGTTCTGTGGCGGATAAAGAGTAGTTTTCATCGGGTTGTATAGATTAATAATGACCAAACAGGAATTAAGTCACTAAGCTAACTACTTTCAGTCACAATTATAAACGTTTCAGTCTTCACTATCATCCGAGAGAACTTTCATACTACCTGTTGAAACTGAAACTGAAAAAAAATATTTTTCGCACAGTTTAAACAATAGTAGCTTAAAAATTATAAATAGAGATTGGGTAGCACATCGGAAATCTATTAGTCATTGTAGATATTGTAAAAATTCATTTGTAAGATAATGATATTTAATGAGTTCACTATGAACGAATCATTCACATAAGATATATCCCTTGATATTTTCTCATGTTTATTACAATAATACTAAAATGAAATTGGTAGGTAGCGGTAAAAAAAATGAAGTTGATGATACATATCAATAGATCCCAACCTAGTAGTTTAAATTTATTATCACTGTGAAATTGAATGGTTTTGGATTGATATCTGTTCACTGTGGTCACTGTTTGTTTGTGAAATACCCTAAACTGACGTTAAACATCTGTTTCGCATCTAATGTCAGTTTGGGATGGAAACTAACTTTGAAACTTAAAAAGATCTTTAAAAAATTATTTATCTAGAATTTTACGTTATATGATCATTAAAAGCAGTAATACTGTAAACGTACATACAGATAACCCATCAATTAATGACTGTAGAAAAATAGAATATGGGTCATTCCTAACTATTTAAAAAAATTAGTAAGCATAGCTTCAATGAAATAGAAGTTAAATTATAAATTATAATGAAAAAGTAAGGTACATTCGGAAGTGAATTCAAGTAATTTCTTCTATTCAAGACAATCATAAATGTTGTAATATTATTTATGCACCTTGAAGTTTACATTACTTGGTTTAATATTTATGTTTGTATGAAAAGGTTGAGTTTGAAATTTATCCTAGAAGTTTGGTGGATTATGGTTGATTACTCTGTTCACTGTGAGATCACTATTATTCATATTTAACAAAGTTAAAGCTTAAGATGACAATCGATCTAACTATTCTCTTTTCCTTATGAACTTTCTGACTACATTACTAAGCAACATCATTTCTTCTTTAGTCAACAATATAATACTTTATATAAGCGTAGTTGTTATTTGACAAAATACTTCTTTGACTGTCACTTTTTTAGTTTTATATCTTTTAATAAATTATTTGCCTCATGTGAAAACTGAACTCATTTGTCTAAAATGCGTTAAGAAACAAATAATTAACCCGTATAGTTCATCATTTATTAAATGACTCATAGTAAAATGTCTAAGCTCAAGCCATTTAATCTGTATGTGGATTATTGTTTAACCGACTGCATGCAATTGACGTGAATATTAGTCTTATCTGATAGACAGCAGATTATATGATATAGTAATAATAATAATAATAATAATAATAATACGTTTTGATCATATGGTGTGATAATAGTACATTTTCGTCTTATGATGTTCAAGTATCATTGATGTGGTGACCATTCTAGGAATGTATTAAATCACGAGTTAACAGCATCATAATTTCCTTGTTTATTTTGTTGAGTAATTTTCTCGAATTCAATTGGTTGTCAGCATCAGATTGAACTGAAACTACAAATAAACTGTTTGTGGTGAGATTTGTTTTATTAAAAAAAATAATACCGAATGTTTCTCAGGGAATTATTGACATATATTTGTTGACTTTTGGTGTTATTTAACAATTATGCTTACCGATCAAATCTAACATGTAGCGGCTAATGCTTTTCTCTTGTTGGCTGGCGTAAATAGTAGCACAAAATACTAAATTTAGAAGATCAAATTAAAAATTTCATTGAAATACCAGGTCAACAATGTCTGGAATAACTATAGAAAACGTTGATTGCTTATATTTGAAACCGTATATAACCCATTAAGTATCTGATATTACATATTTGTGAATATTATTCTGTAAATATCAACGTTTCCAGTGTTACATACAATATACATAGTATGAAGATCATTCTTTGAGATCCACGTATGAAGTAGTTAATTCTAAATCAAATTTGATAGATAAGTACCAAAATAGTTCTTCATAATTAATTTCAAATCCTTTAAAACTAAACATAGACCATCAGTGTATGTTAAAATGCATCAAATTACGTGTTAGATTAAGAGTGTTTCCATAGGTCAGAATAATTTACTCTCAAAATACCATCGCAAAAATTCTTGTGATAACAGATCTATTGTTAGGGTTTTCGAGTTATCCAATTGTATGTAAGTTTTCGATTTATTTACGTAAAAATAACACAAATACTTCAAACATATTATTCTTAACAAAAAGAATGTAACTTTTATAGATATGAGTGAATGAAAAAGTTAGGTAAGATTTACAAACACTATTTATATAATGTTGGGAAAACAAATTGACTTCTTGTATACAGTTCAAAATTTTTCTTCTTTTCTACTTCCTCATTATTAGAAAATTCACAGAAAAAAAACTCATTACCGTTTCGAATGGTTGTTAGTTTTGTCATTCCATATACATTGGTTTCTACATAGTCCACTGTCACTGATACACAGATTGAGATCAGCCAATAAGATATACTTGATGCAGACCCTGGAGCAAATATGTATCGATCCAAGTTGCTAAACGTTAGCTAAGAACAACATGAAAAAAAGAAATTTAGCGAGATTCAAATCAAAAGGATGAGAATCCGAACATCAAACTTAGTAAAAAAATAATTATAAGATTTACACTTCAGAAGGAGAAATATAGGTAGAGGAATACAACAATAAAATAGCACTAAGTCCAGAATTTAGAAGATAAGATATTAATCCAGATATGTTATTGTGCCCAATTTGGTGTTGTATGATCTAAGGTTTAAAAACAGAAGTGTACACCTTTCGATATGGCCCACTCTAAAAGTTAATGACCATAAACTGATCTCATTACCTTCATTTGGACTTTTGACTAATTTATAAGCGTACCACTATACACTGTGAGAATGACATGACTAAACTAAAACCCAAAGATCATTTCTAATGTCATTCGATACAGAATAAAGCTTCACGACTATTTAATGATATCAAGAATATATACGTTAATCACGAAATGGTTAACTTCAATCACTCACAGCTTTTCAATAGACTCTCTATCGCATCTAGTCAGTAATATAAAACAGTTTTTTTGATCGGGAGTTATTTTATCATTCCAAATCGATCTCGTGTATGACTGATTATTCATCGCCGAGAATAATTTCAATGTAAAATGAAACAACTGTGTTTAACTCTTCCTGTTTTTTCTAGCCAATATCCTTTCGTGCTGGAAAACTATCTTAAAGTAGATATTATCTATTTCGATCAAATCTCGACTTGATTGTCTTTTTTTATATTTTGTTTAGGAAGATCTCTCTAATATTTCAAAATGTATTTTACCTCCAAAGAAATTGTCAGATAATATCTTGACTAGTGAAGAATACCAGTTATTCAATAGTAATTCAGTTTTAGGTGAGTATTCAAGAAGAAACCGTCATATATAAACATTGAAATGTCTTTCTTTTCATCAATATTTTTATTTTATTACAATTAAATGATAAAGTTTAAATGGGTTGCATGTGTATATATACATATATACATTATATGTATAACCGCTGTTATTTTAAATTCACTGTAAAAACTTTTACATGTCAGTGAATGTCGTTCGTTCAGTGCTTATCCATCTAAATTCAGATTGTTTTATTAAGATTTAGTATAACTCACTGGTAATGATTATCCTGACAAATTCTTATCAATCAGAAAATTGTGGAAAACTAGGAAGTAAAAAGCATTTATTTTTTAACTAATATTGATTTAATAATGCCAATCACCTTCAAATTGTTTATTTATTACATTGGAATATAATATAATCATCTGTTGCTAGGTAAATATCTTATTTTCTGCAACTAATTATATGATATATTCCCAGTGACATATTATTTTAATAAAATAAAACAATTATACATGTTATGTAACAAAATATGTCATTAATGAATGTAATCAATATTGTACAGTTTGTTTTTTAGTTGTGAATGGATTTTATCATCCAAGGTAATAGTTTAATTACTATAATAAATGACTATACTGGACAGTATTTGTTGTTTGGAGGTAGTTGATGTTAAGTGCCAGATCAAACGTTTGGGTTTATCTATTATCATCTTGAAGAAACTCTATGCTTCAGAAAATGTTTTGATTTATATTACGAAATATCAAAATCATCAATGGTATTAATCGAACTCATGCTATATATAAGGTAAAATTTACTTCAAGTCACTGGTAAATCAGTCAATGATTCCAGATTTTTAAGTATTACCTCCGATTCTCGAACATGATAAATTACATAATCACACATTACATATTGTTCATCAAAACGTTTTCTAAATAAATAGTTAGAACACCCTGTTGTCTCTATTTTGTCAACGATAAATTTATTGCCACCTATTAAATTTATGAGAATATGTTTGATATGAAATTCACTTTAATCATATGATAGCAGAAAAGACTAGAATTATTCGCTTTATACATTAAATTTCCTAATTTCTTATGTTATATTATCAATTTGAATAAGTATTTGTTTACTTTACTTAGACGGTTTTTTTTTTAAAAAAATAGACTTTCATCCGACAACTGACATGAATATTCCATGACTTTTCATGAATTTTCAAACTCTGAGCTAAAACTACGTCTAAAAATATGGTTACAAGTACATTAGAAATGTGACCAGCTGTAGAATTCAGGACAACCATTTCGTTATATTTCAGACACGTTACCTAGAAGTACATTTATTCCTTGATTAATGTTCTCAGTGAAACTCGAACCCAGTGCTTATCACTTCAAACACTGACGCATTATCTACTTATCTAATAAATCCAAGTGGTTACTAGCTTGTCTAGTCTGCATGGATTTATATGTAAGGGTTTGAATTTTATCTTTGTTAATACTAGGGATTATAACTGTTTGAATGCGAACATCAATAGTAAGATTCAAATTCATCCAACTAATGAATTCAAAATAGGACGGAAGGTGTCTCCTAGAACCTACTAATAGCTAAGATCCAAACGTACCTATAACTAGCAAACAAAGACAAAATTTTCTCAAGAAGCATATAGTGTCAATATAGACCATTCGATTAAAATATTTAATATCAACAACATGAAAGCTCAATCCCTTTATATATATTTTAATTTTGTTTTGGGAGCTTTGAAAAATAAACATCTATTCGGATTCAATTGAAAACAATGTTTGTTTAAGGTATTTTACGTTGATCTCCCTGTTTTTGTTGAATTTCTTTAAAACTTATAGATGTAAATAATTCTTCGAACGTTTATGAGGATTCCTTGTCAAAAGTATCAAAATCAGAAAGTTTCAAAAAATTAACTACCCTGGCCACTTCATCGAACAATATTTATAATCATAGTTCAGAAAATGATTTAATAGGAATAAATAAAAACTTTCAGATCATCACACAGAACGGTACTACTGCTGATGAAGACGATACTAATCGAGACTTTATAAATGATAATTCACAAAGAAATTCCATAATTAATAATATGTCAAAAACTCAGCAATCTGATATAAGTTCACCTTCAATAGACGTCAGTTCTCTTGAACACAACTGTCAACGTCAAATTATTCTCCTTAATAACGAACAATTGAATGAATTACTAAAAATAATAAAGTAAGAATGCAGACGTCTCATATGCTTATTATGGTTTCATTCAAGTCAGTTATCAATTTCATATCGGCTTCTAAAGATAATGACAAATCAGTTTCATCTTAGGTATTTTGTAGCATAAAGCTTAAAGGTTTTCTATTCTAGTTGGATTTATTATTTCAGTTACACCATAAATAACATATCACTGGACAGTTTACGATAGTGTGTAACTAACATTACTTCTATGATTACTTCTTAAATGAAGTTATAATTTGAAGTATGTTTACAAACTTTCATCACCATAGACTATCTGTTCTTTAGAATAGTTGAGCATAAAAATCGGTTGGAAAGTATGAATTGATATTTTTGAGAACAGTTCAACTGGCCTTCAGCTACTCCACAAATACCCTCCATTCCCAGACAGTGTGAATGGAACATTGAAGTAGGTCTCCCAACTCTATTAGAAGTTCAAAGGGTTATAGCTAATCTGAAAGGAGAAAGGGCAGCTGGTCCAGATGGATTGGCTCCAGAGGTCTATAAGGATGGTGGTCCAATTTCAGTGTTTGATTAGGTTGACTAATATTTTAGCTAAGATCTGGGAGTTGGACGTAACTCCGTCTGACTGGCCACAATCACTGATCGTCCCAATATATAAGAAAGGGTCAAAATCATCCTGTGACAACCATACAGGGATTAGTTTAACTAATATATAGTATCTAAAATACTAGCCTCGATAATTATCGGACGCCTAACTAAGACTCGTGAACTGCAAACACGAGAGAATCAAGCTGGCTTCAGACCTGGTCGTGGCTGCATCGACCACATATTCACCATTCGTCAGGTTCTAGAACACAGGCATACTTATCGGCGTCCGACAATGGTGGTCTTTCTTGACTTGAAAGCAGCATTTGACTCGGTAGACCGCGAGATTCTGTGGCAGTGTCTGTCATTGAAAGGTGTACCTCAGAAGTACATAAACCTTGTGAAGACTCTTTACTCGAACACTGCTAGTGGAGTGAGAGCTCATGGCGAACTGTCATCTGCTTTTGCAACCTCAAGTGGTGTCCGTCAAGGCTGTTCACTTTCCCCATTTTTGTTTAATTTCATCATAGACCTACTGATGGAAATAACATTCTCGTCCATTGAATTCTCGGGTATTGGTCTCCTTACAGGAGGTCCACTTATCGACATAGAATACGCGGATGACATAGTCCTGTTTGGTGAAGACGCTGACAAAATGCAGTCTTCTGGTAGCACTAAGCAGAAAATGCCAGAATGTTTGGAATGCGCTTCTCTCCCTCTAAATGCAAGTTGTTGCTTCAGGACTGGTCTGCGTCAACACCTGAACTAAGGATAGGGAGTGAAGTAGTCGAACACGTTGACAAATTCACTTATGTTGGAAGTCTGATCAGCCCTAATGGATTGGTGTCTGACGAAATCTCAGCACGGATTCGAAAAGCTCGTTTGGCTTTTGCCAAATTACGTCAACCACGGAGTAGGCGAGATATCCGTCTATCAAATATGGGGTGAGTGTACTGCGCGGCACTTCGTTCTGTTTTAATTTACGGTAGCGAAACATGGCCACTAAGAGTCGAAGATACCTGTAAGCTACTAGTATTTGACGACAGATGCCTTAGAACTATTGCTGGCATCTGCTTGGTTAACGGGTAAGTAATAATGAGGTTAGACACAGGGTATTAGGGAACGATGGTTAATCCTTTGATGAGGTTGTGAATCTTCATCGACTGAGATGGTTGGGCCACGTGTTACGTATGCGTGAACACTGATTATCACGATGTGCAACGCCAACCGGTGTTGGGGATGGTTGGAAGAAAGTTAGGGGCGGCCAAACCAAAACGTGGCATCAGTGCTTGAAGTCACTAACTTGTGGTCTGTGCCATGTTGGTAGATGCAGACTAATTAGTTGAGGATCGCGTGACTATCGTAACCAATGGTTGGAGACTGTTGGTGACATGGCTCAGAATCGGTTACAATCGTGTAAGTGTATACACTCTCTGTCTTCCTTTAAACTAAGAGGATAAAATCGCTTCATATCTTTCTTTATGTGTACTAAATCTTTCTTCCTGTACTATGTTCTTATATGCAATCTTTCTTTTATATATTACCATCATTGAATTAACTACTTCTATGAATCCGGTGTTCATCTTGTTGTGTTAATGAGGTATGGCATCTTGGACCATGCATATATGTGCCTGGTCCTAAGTTGCATCTGACTGACTGATGAATTGATATAGTTCTATTGTTTTAATAGTAGTCTGTATTCAATTCCTTTTGTGTACATATATATTTTTTGACAGCTTTTTTCTTATCAGTTCAGATTAATCACTGTTGAGAGAAGTGCATAATTCCGTAATACCTTGTTTTTAGTATTTGTTCATGTCGATAATTGGATTGAAGAATTACTTCTGAAATGCCATCGAGTAAAATTAGATAAAACCTATCTCATAAATTAGATAGATGGAGAGAAATTTATTTCGAAACAACAAACCTGTGAATTTATTTCATTTTTGTATTGGCTGTTTGAATCTTTCTATTTATGTTTAGGAATGCAATGTTTCAGTTTGCTATTGGCAAATGTACATCCTGTGCGGACTGCCTCGATTATTGGTTCAAGTTAGAAGCATTATAAGGAGAGATGAATAAATTTGTTGTTTTTAAAAATTAGTTGATGTGTATCCTGATGAGAATAATTTAATGGAAAAAGCTTATCAGAATGTTTGCTGCTTCTGATAAAATATAAGTCAGTATATTTTAAAATAAGATCATTTATGTACATATTTTTAAAGCGGAAGAATGTATTTGTAAAATCTCAGCGGATGAATTAAAAGTAAATCCAACGTTTCGCCTGGCAATCTGGTCCAATCTTTTTCAAGGAAATATAATCAAACATAAAAATTATTGCAGATACTTACTTTAAACATTGTTAACGTTGATTGGATGGCCTATTCATTATACAGTGAACTGGAGAACTATGTACCTATTTATATTAGATAATTTTGATGTTCGATTGTATTTCCTTGAAAAACCTTCAATCAGATTGCCAGGCGAAACGTTGTATTTACTTCAAATTCATTCACTGAGATTTTACAAATACATTCTTTCTCTTTAATGTCTCACATCAACTCGGCGCCCAAATACTGTGAAACTATTCAATCAAATTTAGACGTAAGTTCGTATATATGTTTAAAGCGTTTCTCTTTCAGTCGAAGTATTTCTACTATCCGTAGAAAATTAAAACATAGATAAATTTAAACAGGGTAGCGCACTAGTTTATATTGTTTCACAAGTAAAATAGAATACTAAAATGTTTAATTGTAATACCGAAAGCGGCATCGAAATTCAACGAAAAAAAGTAGACAAAGGAAATTTTTGAAACCAAGAGTTGAATAATAATATACAGTACTAATACTATTTCAATAGCGAATGATTATATCTGAAATACAAAACTTTATATCACTTTTATTACAGTTTTAAGTTATCTTAAATGTTTTCCGATTTATGATTACCCAATACAGACAGATATCAATTTAAGACACGATATCACGGTACACTCCTTGAAGTCTCCAAGCTCCCCAACAGCATAGAACAAATTAAACAACAAATGGATAGATAAAGAACAAACATTCTAGTAGAATAGCATGAATTCATTTGTATTTCGTTGGTTCTTTTCAGCTGCTTACAACCTGTGATATTTAAAATCGTAATTACATAATGTGTTTAAATTACTTACATGAGAGGGTTTAGTTGGGAAGTTATATTGAAGACATATTAGTTTGAACTGTTTTCACAATCAATGTTGTAGAATGTTCTTTTACATACTTACACCATTGCTACACTATACTAATATGTCTTCAATATAAATTCCAAATAAACTCTCTCGTGTAAGTAATTTAAACACAATATGTAATTACGATTTTAAATATCACAGGTTGTAAGCAGCTGAAGAGAACCAACAAAATAAAAATGAATTCATGCTATTCTGCTAGAATGTTTGTTCTTGCTCTTTTCAAAATGATTAAGGGAACTATGTGTATGAAATGGATATATAATAAAATAAACGGAAAGAACGTGGCTCAGAATAAAAAAATAGCTAATAAATATTTTTTAAGGTTGAGAATCAAATAAGTAGTAAATGGATTTGCGTCGTTAGAATGAATTTCCATCCACTAATGTTTAGTATCCCAATGTGTTCAACCAACAAAGTTAAACCGACACAGCTTCCAAAATCATTGGCTAATTTCATGAAACGGTATAATATCTTGGTTTATTCAACCTTAAATTGTACTCTAACCCAATCTTACCTTAGCAAACATGGCATAATAGAGTATATAAACACTTCAAACACACTGCCAGTTATCTCTATTATCTAAGATTAACATATGGACGAATACCTAAGTTGAGAAAAAATCTAGTAAAATTACTTACGAATTTCAAATCACACTAATGAATAGTAATAATAATAGTTATAATGATAATAATAACTATACATATACATATATATATCTTTCTGTCTTTTGACAGTTACAGTCGATTCAACATTACGCCAATCCAAAGTGAATCTATGAATTCACCTTCTTTACAAACATCAAGTTTAGTCAATGACAGTTTGCTTAATTCTGTTGGGCTGTTCACAGCATCCGATCCTAATTTAACTGGAGGTTTAGCACAGTGCACTACTACTTATTGCTGTTCATATTACCCAAGACTTAACAGTAGAGTTGTGAATCGCAATAATGATTGTTGTCTACCATCATTTCATCATATTTCCAGTTCTACAAACCTAAATTCAAATCCAATTGTATGTTCTTCTCTCAACAATTGTTCGAATAATTTATTCAATAAAATGTCCAAATCGATGGCAGTCAGTGAGAGCAATATTGATGGCTGTGGTAAGTTCCGTACAACAAACAATTTCCTAATGGACGAGTGACTGAACACATCCAAAGACAATTATTTACTCTTAAGATTTCATCACTCATTCAGTCCGAATAGTTAGTGGCATTCTGTTTTGAAAATATCTTTGATGACTGCATTCTTAAAGTAAGGCTTATTAGTACTTGGGTAGATACATTCTGGACGGACTGTAGAAACGTCCACTGTTGGCATAGACTATTGTATTTCAGCAATTAAATTACAAAGCTGGATTGACTATAGAAGCTGCAAGGTATCTTTGAAAGTAATTAGCAATATTATGGATATCCTGGATATTTGATTCAACTTCCTTTAACAGTGAAATAGTTCACAATTAAAAAGGTTCTCACTGATCTCTATTACATTTACTTTGTGTATAATCCCTTATCAAGTGTTCATCTCATTCATATAAGAAAACAACCTGACGGCAGCATAATGTTCCTATTTCGTACTTTTCAGTAAGAAGGCCACTCATTGAAACTTCACTGTCTTGGGATACTGTTAAACATGGAGAACATGCAAAATCCCTATTTATATTCGTAATGTTTGGAACGAGATTATGAGTTTGGATTTGTTGGAAAATCTATATGTTACCTTTTTACAATTTATGCTACCTTAATATGTTTCCGTAAACATCCTGTAATTTCTACTATACATTCTAAATATACAAACTCACTAGACAGTAACTATAGTTACCTAGCTATGACCTTGTGCTCTAATAGTATTTTTAGATTAGTAAGCGTCTGTTAACATTTTTTCCATTTGCCTTTGTGATTAAAATAGTGCACATGTGTAAGTCGCATGTTTCCTTCCCCTTTACCTAAATTGTTCAAAATAACAGCTTTACTATTATATATGTGTACATGATGGGAGAACGTGGGCGAACATTGGCGAGTCACTTACGCATATCTCAATTGGCTTTGTTTCTTATTTTAGTGCTTACTAGTTTAAATACAATAATATGACTCATCTCTTCACTATTGTCTACTTTTATCTCCATACCCTGTCTCACCCATCCTGCAGTTTGTATGTTTAATGTGCTTCATATAAAAACATAGGACTTTAGTAGTTTAATGAGACTACTAATGTGATATTTCCTTTTTTTGAAAAAAAAGCGCTTATTTCAGATTGTATATGTGATCAGTTGAATTTATATAGAATTATTTTTGGATGATAAACAAATCATATAAGTCTATTTCTTTAGTTTGAGTCATACACCTGAATTTAAAGACATATTGAAGATAGGTAGCCGTTATTTCACTTAGTTATCAAGCCTATCTGACAAAGACCCAATTATGAGTGGATGTAGATATGTAGGAGACAGGAGCATCTTTGAATTCTGTCAGGTTGAAATACCACCGTTGTTTTATTTTATACACAAAGACTAACGATTTCTAAATTGGGTTTTAAGGTGAAATTTCTGGAAAGTCTTCATTTATGTTTTACTTCTGATGACGTAGACAGTACCTAAGACTACTCGTCTAGTCATAATATAGTTGGATTATCATGTATGAAAAAGTAACAATTAGGAGATTTGTCATTACTGCTATTTCAAAGGCGTTGTTATACTACACGATGAGAATCACGAATTCATCGTCGATCCAGAGTTACTAAATAATTTTGGGTGAAATAAATGTGGTTGTGCCTAATTTTCAAGGATATTGGGACTTTCAGTCAAACTTTCAACTCTGATTATTACATCTGTAGTAATGGGTTTGATACTTAACTAAAATAACTATTATTTATTGATATTATTTATTCAAGTCAACCATATTTCACAGGAATTGTCTTTGATTGTTGTTAAATTGATATGCATTGTACACTAGGTAAGTTACATGACGTTTCATATCACGGCAAGTCAGTAGGTGAGTTATTCATCAAACCGAAAACCATGACTCACGTTCCCTTCGTGGGATCAGTTGGGTTAAATATAGATGCATGAGATGTTTAAACACTATTCGGAATCCAGTTTTTTCTATCGAACAGGACAGCGCACAGTAGTGTGTCAGTACTATAACAAAAAATGCCATTCTAAACATTTGAATGGCTACTTATTCTTTTCTATCTGTAAATGTGCTTGTCTATAAATTTGTGCAAAGTTACGGAAGTTAGACTGTTTTTTTTCTTATTTTCAAACATCTTAAATCAAACAATGTATTAAGACATACTACCGTCTATCTCGATTGAATTCACTTCAACTAACTTTCAATAAAATATGTTGGGCCAGCACTTTATTTTATTTCCAATCGGATATAAACAGGGATAATATTTTCTGGAAGTTTATACATAATGTCAATTTGGTTTGTTACATAAAAGTACTATTTTCTTATTGTTTTTTTTAAAATGGGATTCATGGTCAATCATAAGACACTCATGTAAATGGTCACAAATCATCATCTCCGAATTTTCTAATTCATTGGAAAAAGGAGAAAATACGTGAATCTGTTGAAGAAGACGGAGTCAATTCGTTGAATGGATTCTATGATAATAATGATACATTTTCACATCAACTCTATCAAGATAAAGATCATAATAATACATTGGAAATGGTAGATAATTACCAAATATCGGTTAATAATACTCCTATGACGAATTGTTCATCACAATTACTTTCTCATGGTTAGTACAACTTTAATTACATTATTAATAATAATAATAATAATCTTATATTACATTTTTTGTAAGTCAGGTGTAACGTTTTGTTCACTGATATTTAATACAGCAGGTTTGTGTTATCTTAATCACAAATGTTAGAATAAAATCATTTTTTGGGGCAAATTAATTTGATGATACTATGTACATAGATCAGGTCAAGAAGCGAGTATCGTTTACAATATATTATAAATTCTAAAATTTTAATGACAATACAGATCATCAGTTGATCAGTCAGTCAGTCGTAAACAATTTAAAACCTGGCCAAAATGTATGTATTCTTACGTTGTCGCACTTCATTCAACCACAACCAAACAGAAACCTTACAAGATCAAAAAAAAGGTTGGGATTTGTCATATCCATGCTAGTAGAAAACTAAGCATAAGAAGTATACACCAAGAAAGAAAGAAATGAAACTGAGAAATGGAGAGTGTATAATAACACTAGTCAATCAGTAATAAGCAACGTGGAATCTGGCACATACTTACATCGGTTCAAATTGTTACCGAATCGGTGCGACAAAGCGGAGTTGTCAAGATAAATGCCAAAATAGTAAAAATATTAACAGTATCAGCATTTGTAGAAAAGATTAAGCACAGGAAATATGATTATGAAATAATGAAGTTTCAGAGCAGAACTTACGGGTATTTAAAGAGTAAAAATAAATCATCTGCTCTATTGTGACTGGTTCTGAGTTGTGCTATTCGATATCTTTGACCATTCGTTACGATATTTGATAGGAACCCAACCAAGGAATCTGCACCTACCTATATTGCTCAGTCCGACAATCAGTCACTTCATCGACCAATTTTATGTCTTGACTTGGCCACCTCTGATGTAACAAAATTAAACTGATGATTTAGAAGAAGAATATGATGAAGAATGAATGCAATTGTGTTATTGAAATCGATTTTAAGCCATATCATTTAAAGCTTTTGACTGAAGATTACGATTATCTCGTTTACTTAAATCAGGAAGTCTGAACTCTTCAACATAACCTGGTAACTGCCTGACGTTTGTACTGATTATGTCGTTCAGAAGAACGTCGAAAGCTCCACGACCAAATCATCCACCTCCGAAAACTCCACCTGAGCTATATATATATATATATATATATATATATATATATATATATATATATATATATATAGAGAGAGAGAGAGAGAGAGAGAGAGAATAGCTGTTAGGAGATAGGTTCAAATTCTGCTCTGTTAACTTCAGCTAAGTCATTTGATTAGCAACTAATCTATCCGAAGATAATCAAGTATCACTTAAAACCGGTTACATGAATTTGTATTTCGTTATTGATTTGTGTCAAATTATGTCAGTGAAAGCTTCACAACTGAGCTATCCAGCTCAAAGAACGAAAATCTACCAAAAAATACAAATCTTTAGTACCTCATGTTCTACAATGAGTACAAAATCTCCAATATCTAAAGTGTTGATTCTTTTGCCTTTTTAATTAATGATCATAATTTCGCTTAAAAGGGTATAATAATTTATTACACCGACGAATTTCACTGACTCGAATAATTAGGCGAGTTGTCAGTATGAGTTCGTGGAGATCGTTGGATTTTACTGAGGTTACAAACCTACCTAAGTTAATCAACCTTTGAGAACCTGGGAGTCTTGGATGGCCATTCAGTTACAGTGTATAGCTGCTCATCAGTACTTACCCACGTCCCTACAACCGGAAATCGGACTCAGAACCCACGGTTCGAGTGCGAACGCTTAACTTCTAAACCAGTGAGCGGGAATCCAACGTTGCAGATGGATCCTTGCTCAGTAGTGTAGAGTTTAAGAGTTCATGACTGAGACCGAAGATACTTTTTGTCTCCGATTGCGGAATTGTGTATACGCACTGCTGAGGAATCCCTTACTAGAACTAAACGGTTTTCCAGTGTTTCTATATTTTCAATAGTTGTCTGAGATCGATTCCTGGTGTCATGGTAATTATGGTAGTGCTTACAAATTAAAATTCATACGATAATATCCTACTATTGGTGTAATAAACTTAGCTGACATTGTCTTTCTAATAAATGAAACTTTTGTCAATGCTTAGTTTTAAATGTATGTTAGGACACCGTCTTACTAGACAGTCAGGCATAAGATATGCTAAGAGTTTATAACATCAAAAGATAGAGATTCTATAGACAAATATCGATAATCATTAAATATAATTGCATGGTATCTTGTTAATCTTGCTTATAACAAAACAATTTCAAACAATGCGAAAGTACCCAGCCAAACATAGTTATTGGAGCTAAAGGTCTTGTACTTATTAAAGAACCATTAGATTACAATTAACAAATTCACGATTCATTTTTTCTGAATGAATCATCTACAGTATGATTATGTTTTTACCATATTAACTACTGCTCAGTGCTTTACACTGACAAAGTTACAATACGTAAGACGAATGGCGTAGTAAATTTTTTAATTAAGACTTTACAACGAATGCTTAGACGCTGACTCATTACTGCGATATCTATGATATATATATATATATATATATATATATATATATATATATATATATATATATATCACGTGGTGTTTATATTTCAGACCAGCTTTTACGTACTTTAATGTTTATTGACATCTTTATAATTGTCTATTTCAATCACAAATGGATCTCCACGTCAAATAGTCTTAAAGAAAACTGTAGCATCATCTCGTTATATGTAAAAGTATTTATATGCACGCTCACATGTCTGTATATTCGATCGCAAGGTACTTTCTATAAAAAATGATTTACAATTTTGTAGCTTATCTTATTAATTAATGCCATCTTAATTAACCATATTTCCGCTAAAAAGAAGATATCCCATTTAGACGCTTAGACAACAAGAATTAAGCAAGAAAGTGAATTATCAATAATATATTCAGGGACAGATGTGGGTTGGCTCAAATTACCGTACTCCATTAACATGAATTTGACTTGATGAATAGCAAAGGAGATCGGAGTAATATATAGATATATGATCGATATCACGTACTATATTCCCAGTCGCATCGGTGACTTGTTTCATGAATTTACACACTGACCGATGAACAACATCAAGTATTAGGGCTCATTGGTTTTCGGGTTCTTTTTAATTCAGTGAAAAATCAGAAGACGCAGGTAGGAGGCAGATTAACCCTCTATTATACCTAATTCCATCATGTCTCAAAACTCAAACAACAATAATATACTGAAAATGCTTGATCACCCAGTATATCAAATAAGAAGTCACACTTTTAGCACAATTATACTACAAATGATTGAGGATGGAGCAAACAGTAGATTGTTAATCAGCAATATTCAGGGAATAGTGGTAAGTATAACACTAGTCAATAGGCCCACTGAAAGCTAGAGATGCAACAAAAATGTTATTAATTATACAATATAGGTATAAATAATGATAATCTAAAAAATAGCGCCAAGAATTTTAGCTTTCCTAATACTCGTTCTCTTATAATAAGAGAGATGTTCAAATTAATTTGTCTCTGAGTGGCAACCAATGTCGAATTATCGAGTCAAAATGGTAGATAACCTATTTAAATTAGATCAGCATTTGATAACCAAAGGAATACTCAGAAGTTATCGATGTCTGTTATCTAGAGAATATAATGAAAAAACTCGGCTACTCTATTTACATCTTCGTCTATGGTACCTATTTCTTATGATTTAACTAGACCACCTTAGTAATGTTTGGGTGGTAAGAGGTGATTTTGTGCAATCACTTTATTGTATTTTGATGAATTATTAGAAAACAAACATATGAACTGCATAAATTTGGCAAGTGTATTCTTTATACTACTATCCTTTCCTCTATACCATCTTTGTCAGTTGATAATCGAGCTAAAATAACTCTAGTTCATTTAAACTGTATGTTCCTCTCTCTACTACTCGTTTAGTATGTTCAAGCACAAACCTAGATCACGTGATAACTCACCTTACACAACCCTTTAACATTGAGAATTAATTATTAATGTACTTTGTGATAGTGTTACATATGTACATTCTATCTAACCTCAGCTAATTAATTTTGATTTGGTTATTTATTCTCTGAAGAATTGGCTTACATTGAGTTACAAAACGTCACAGTATCTAATTTTTCTACTCATTGGTATATTACAAGTATATTAATTTATTTATAATAATCTACCCAATGTTCAATTTATTCGAAATTATCAAGTCTAATCTTGTTAATGATATCTATTCAGTTAAAATGGTTGATCATTTCACCTTACCATATATTTTGTGAATGTTGATCCTTTAAAATATTTTGAATTCGATGACAATTTTCATAATCTAACTAACTCTCATCTCATCTTACTTCTATTGGATCATGAATTTCTTGATCATTTGAATTCTTGAAAAGTATCATTTATTATTTTTTTTTAAAAAGTTAAGTATCAAAAACGTCAGTAAAAATAAATCCCCAAAATTCATTTTTAAAAATTTCTGTAGTGAAGGAGAACACAGGTGAGGACAACCGAATTGTATAAAGCATGAATTACAGAGTTATTTGGTAAAATAGAAAAATTATATAATAAATCGTTAATTTGTAAAATATTAATGCATCATATCAACCTGGGCTGTTCCTCTTGCAAACATTAATTCATTGTCTCACATTTCATTGTTCATGCGTTTTCTTACAAATTACATTGTGTTGTCACTTTTCCTTTCTTGATCTTCTCCCATCTTCTGCTGCCAGACGTTGCATTTTTAACTCGCGTCATATACTCGTTACATCGATATAAGTAGCACGCACCATATATCTACTTCAAATTTCTATATTATTTTCATGATTAAATATTTATCAAAATTTCCTTATCATTATATCTTTTAAATAGGTAAGAGTTTTATGCAAAATATTTGCTTACTCGATTAAAATGTATAGTGAAATGTGACCGAAGTAATGACGATCAAATTAATAATAATAATAATAATAATAATAATAATAATAATAATAATAATAATAATAATAATAATAATAATAATAATAATGATAATAATAATAATAGTAATAATAATGGTAATGGTAGTAATGGTAATAATAATAATCGTACTTATTTTTCTGTTCGACTTAATTGTTGTAAGGAATAAGAGAAAAAATGAACTTGTTACTGTGACTCATTCTTATGTCAAATAAGAGTTAATAATATGCATTCAACGTTTACAAAAAATGTAAATAAATACAAGAAGCCTGTGATTTAATGTACACATATTGATATTTTCTGATATATTTCAATCCCTAGATGTTTATTTATATATTTATATACTCATAGATCTTTAGTTATAAATTTATTATTATGGGAATATAATTTGTGTAATGCCAAAAATTACAAAAACATTTTTACTGTTATCTGTCAAAATTTTATAATTACTTGTCTTTAACTTAAATAAAACATACATACATATTCTACAAAATATTTCTATAAGACAATATAAAACATCGGTATAAATATTATGGCGCCTATGATAAAAAATGAGCTATCTATTCAATTTATATCATTGCTATAATTAACACTATGGTATTAAAAGTGATAATAATCCATTGAATTATTCAGTAGACATTATCATAATTAACATTATTTTATGCATTCGGCATTGTTGACATGAAATATAATTTCTTTCTATAAATAAATTTAGATTTTAATAGATGCCAGTGTACTTTAATCTTTAGAATATTAGTGTTTTACTATAATATACTTTGAATTTTCTTAGTCTATATAATATTTTATTTTACTTTTTAATATTTGCTTATACATATGTATGATAAGTAATTCTAGTTCAGTTGTATTCTCATATGCTAGATAATAGTACAAATGATGTTGTCCAGAACAACAATGAAATCTTCACAATTAAGTTATCTAGCTCAAAGAATATAACACTATCAAAAGCATACGCCTGAACTGTAAATCAATTCCATCATAATAAATAGTTGTATCATTTTAATGAGTTTACTACTATGATACAAACTCAGAACCATAAAAACACATCAATTTTCAGTATAGGGTTGTAGAGATTGTTGAGTTTTAATTGTGATCGTGAACCGATCAATGTAAGACCACCATTGAAAACCTGGAAGCATTGGACGGACGTTTCTTCCTAGTTTGGGACTCCTCAGCAGTGCGCGTCTATTTGTATTTATATTTTACAATACAGAATTCAGTAAAATAATATATTTTTACGGTTATGTTTTCTATCTGTTTATTTTTAAATAATAAAGAAATTGAAATGTTCAGCTAATTCATGACGAAATAAGTACATACTTTTTAATTATAAATTTCTACAGCGGATTATGGGTCACTTTATTGTTTGTTTATATTAATGATTTCCTCCTTATTTTTAAATTTATACTATTCGTCTAATTGAAGTACTTGCTATGACGAACACTAAAACAGTTGTATGTGATTTGTTTGACATTAGGTAGTAATGACTGTAGTGGAAAATTGTAAATTGATTTAAATAGGATACATATAAACCAAATAAATCTCCATTCATCTAAATGTTTAATGTTTTTATCATGAATATTAAATTGCCTGGATTCGATTTATTATAATCTAATAAATCTGTATTTATACTATTGAAAAAGCGTAAACTGTGTTACGGCAATTTATCCAGTAGTCATTTTCAATAATTATTTACCCCGTTTCATTTTAAAATGTATAATGTATGATAAATAAATACTCAATAAACGTGTATGTGTTTATAATAGACAGATAAGTTTAGTAAGGATCATGTTTAACATCATACAGGTTATTAAAATGGATTTAAGATAACTAAGATTACTGAATAGCAGTAGTATCAGTGTGGCATCATATATATAAAAACAGTGAATGATGTTGACAGTAAAAAATAAATTTAGTAAACTCAGTTTGATCGAGATTCTTTTAAATTTTAAGGGTCTTCATGGAATGCTTCTATATGCATTAGGATGAATCTTTTTGTTACTTCCTTGCATTTAAAAAAATAATAAAACATATAGATTTGAATGATTTCATAAAACTACTACGAAAGTAGATTGATTTGAATTCATTTTCGAAATTGAAGGTGATGTGGAAAAGCATTCAAACGATAGTGTTATTTTCTGGCACCAGTGAATATTGACGTATTGTTTTAATTAACCAACGCTCAATAAACTGTTTTAACAGTTGTGAACTGAACGCTAACTTTCAATTAATAACGGTTTGTAATTTTCTCCCATGATAAGAGAGAGGAAATTCCATCCATCACTAACTACGCTTAGTTAAGGATAGAAAACGTTGTCTGTCATATAAATTATTATTGTTTAATTACAACATTAGTGATCAAATTCAATTTAACGGTAAACTATGATCAGTGAAAATTGTATTCTCTCAACCAAAAGCCATGTGTCACACAGGTAAGTAAATGGAGCACTCTTTATGTAACTAGTAGACTGGGCGGATTCGGACATATCACACGGCTGTGTTGATATGCCATCTCCGTTCCGAATGGTGAGTGAAAAATGATAAACAAGGTAATCCATTAGATAATGTTGATCATATAATTCAAGGTTTTTTCAGCTTATATGTTTTTTTCTAGGTCAGAGGGACAGATATGTGAATTCCGATCATTCGTGTACACTTTATTTGATTTTTCAACCATAGTTTCTTAATTATTCTGTCTTACCACTCACAGGAAGCGTGTTTTGTGATCAAGAACGCAGGTGGGGACTACCATTGTATTTCAATAATAAATTACAGAATATCTTGGTAAAATATAAGAACCATTCACTGAATACTTTATTTGCAAATTTCCATCATTTGTTCTCAACATTCTGTATGATTCTTCAAGTTCACAATCCCTTTCTATTTCCATTTATATTCTCTTCAACTCGAACTTCTTAAGCTTCTGCTGCCAGGTTTTCTACTTCCGGTTGGTGTTATATAATATTTATATCTGTCGATTAAGTAACACGCCGCATGTGTATCTGGATCTGAATACACAAACACGGAACATTAACAGTAACTTAAAGTACTCAGTTTAAATTAAACAGCTACATTACTTTTCATCTAACTTTATCATCCCCAAAGGGTACTTTGGTTCAATTTTTATTCGATGTACACTTCAACTTCCTACAAATAAGCGAATTATTGATGGTATTTTTTACCATTTATCAAAACAAAAATGATTCTTTTATGTTGCTTTGTGTTTATTTTGAAAATTTAGGTACGAATAATAAATTTTCCAGTTACAATACATTCAGTTCAAATTCAAGGACTACAAATACTACTAATAGTTATGATAGCAGTAGCAATAGTAGCGCACGTGAATTAATTCAAAGTCAATCTGAAATTACCATTCAGTCATCAGACGATGACCAATTTTTATATAATCAAATCCAAGATGGTATTCTCATGAAAATACTTAATACAGTACAACAGTTAACCGCTAAACTTGATGCAGATGCTGATCCCCCTGAAGTAATTCAAAATTGTCGAGCTATTCAAGCTTGCCTAGATACAATTACTGCTATAAAAAGAGCCAAATCAAATCAGTTCTTTATTGATAAACAAGATGAAACACGTTCAACTAATACACTTGAAGAGTCAAATGATAATTTACAACCCAGAGAATTCACCTTTAAGAATCAAGAAAATTTCCAACTGTTTTCGCCTAATTTCATTCAATCATAATCGTTCTTCTGCTTGTTGCCGTTGCTGGTAGTCAGAAGTATTAATAGTTGTAATACTCATAACAAACAGTAATTTCTTTGCTAACCGGGTTAGTTTTTTTATAGAAACAGAAAAGATTCATTTTTTTACACAAAAGTAAATAATATCACATTTCTAAAGGAATTAAGGTTATTTTCGTAGTTATTTTTCTGTGGAAGGTTTTTCTATGCTTTATTACGTTTATGATTCTGTGCATTACTTGGATACATTAGCTATTATTTACACTATTCCCAATTCATATTCAATCTTTGAGTTCTTCCAATAAAATAGTTTTTATGTTATGTTGTATCAGTCATTAAAATTTTAAAAAAGGTTAGATATCATAATTCATTTTTAGTCGCGTTTCATATAATTACAAGATTTTAGTATTTTATTCCTTAAGGAGTATGTCAATACATTGAACACTGAATGATATTAAATCAATAGACACTTCATTCATCTTTACTAGTTCCGATTTTTTTTCTCTGTTATTACGTATTCTTGATGTGTACAACATAAATATTATACTATTTTTTAGTTTTCTGCATCATAATAATTTTCATATTTGTATTTTAATGAATAATTTCTTTTCTTGAAATCGTGTTACATACAAGTTACATACTAACAAGTAAACCTTTAAACATAACTTTCCTCATAGTAAAATTCATCGAAAATACAAGAAATGATCCGATATTAGTCTCAGTACATCAATCGGAATGCTCAATTATGAAGCAGAAGTCAATCGACGAAGTTTTGCAGTTCAGACAAAAAAGCCTGCACCATCATCATACGAAAATTATTCAGATCACTACCATTTTTTCGTCTCCATCTAGTTCAATCCAAAAGAACTGAAAACAACTAGTCATAGTGTGAATAATACGAACTTGTATGAAGGTGGTGTGACGAATTTCACTGAAATAAGAGATATTGATCTACTGAGTTAGTGGTCATCAATGATTAGATTTACTTTTCATTGATTCCTGGTATTTGGAAGGTTTCATTGTACAATCTGTCAAGACATTACTAGTTAAACATTTGTCAACCCGTTATTTTATAGTCTTTACTTTTGACAAGAATTTGACCTCTTAGAAACAATTCGAAATATCCTCGTAGTAATCAGAGCGTCAAAGTCAATGATGCCATGCATTTCAAACTACGTAAGACCAAATGACGATGTATGAATTACTCAGAAGTGAATAATTATTCAGTGCTAATAAACAAAGATACATTTACAGCGTTAACGTTTTTCACTTATAGACGTTAAGAACTCATTTTATTCGCATAAGATGATTTGAAGCTATTATAATTAGGTGTGAAATTAAGATAATTTTAATTATGTACATAATGTAATTCTCATCCGGTGAATTGCATTTAGGTGTTTGTCGATCAAAGAATCGATACGAACATATCTTGTACACCACAGTACATATAATTTGAAATATCAAGGTACAGTTCATACCCAGTAGACTATGTTGAAATAGATCAGATGAATTCTTGATATATCAAAGAAATCGATTAGATCCATCAGAAGGATTATGAAGTTCACAATTACACTCACAACCACTAGAAGTTCAGTAGGCATTACGAACAAAGTATGTGTTAACTTATTGGTGTTTTATAGGAGTGAATTAAAGGTTAGTATTTGAATAATCTCAAAGTACTTGATAAACGAGTTGATATTTAGTCGAACTAATTTCATTGTGATTAGGTAGACGGCTAGCATTTCATTGTATTACCTTATTGCTATCGTATTTTACTTGGACTCCATTTCTAATGAATACAGACATAAATGAATCGTATTATTTGAACAATCCTATCCGTTGTAATTGAGTCAAAAAATATCCCGTTCATAAAGACCTATCCTAAATCATTCACTTCAATCGTTCATTTGATCATACCTCAGTAACATCCAATTTCTTATCGCCGTCAGTAATCTGAATCAGTAGTTTGTCTTTCATATCCCATTCTCTAATGATTGATCGGACAGGTTTATCTGAGATTATTGGAAGCTTAAGTCGCAATACAAAATTGGCCAATTGAGACTATAACTCGATTATCTTACAAATAAAGAGTAATCAGTTTACGATCATCACACTTAAGGATGATATTCCCGGCTGGTTGTTCTGTAGTGAACAAGAACACAAGTGAGGACAATCGAATGTGATTAAGTACAAAATTACAGAACGTCTTAGTAAAGTGTGAGAACCATAGAGTAAATACTTCATTTGCAAAATATCAGTCAACCGTCTCAGACTTCGTTTCCACACCAATCATCCTGTTCTCATTCTTTTCTTTGATCTTCTTAACCGTCTGCCACCAAGCATTTCACTTCCGATTGATGATATATCATACTCATATCAGCCGACATCAGTAGCACACACCACAGTTCCATTAAATTCAAGGATCTTGAGTTATTGGAAATCAGGTAGAGATAAGTGTAATAGACCATGCTGTATTTTCACATCCATGTAAGCTCTGCTAACTAACCTCTTCATATTCTCGGTAGTTGATTTTTGAAATATGAACAGGATTTTTGATAAACATAACTTCGTCATAATTAGGTAGTTCATATGAAATAGTCCAGCTGAGTTTGCTTTCCAACTTCAGAATGCCACTTATCATATTCAGGAAATACAGAAATGAAATAAATATTAGTCTGCATAAATTGCGCATCACAATTATAATATGGTATATTTCGTGATGCATCCTTATAACAACCTTGTGGAGTTCGATTATAGAAATATTTATTTAATTGTGGCATGATGCTTCAGATTAAAAGTCACTTATGAGGATGAGGTGTCCTCAAACTATGAATATCTTCAGTAAATGCAGCATCACTTGCCCTTCGGTTACGCTCGTTTCCACCAACAGGCCATCAAACACGGTCTGATTAAAAATGTACTAACCCGCCAAAAATGCGAAGTAAATTGTGAGATCATATTAACCTCATCACCTCAACAGGTTTTCTTTACTGAAAACGAAACAAGGCCCCGAAGGTTAGGTTTTTGATTATTAATTGGGGGGAGATTATAAAAACTGAAGTACAGTTCGTGACTTAATGTTTGAGAAAATGCTGAAGAAGTGATAACTCCCAAAAATATTATGGGCTATTTATTATTCATACCTTCATTCCATAATTACTAAGTAAATGCACTACCATGTTTCTATATTACGTTTATTGATCCTTCTTGTTTCTCTAACCATTACACTACGTCTCATTACTTCTAGTTGATTGCTTATCTGTTTGCCCGGTCTAACTGCCATTTCTCATGTTGATGTATAACTATGATTTTCTATTTTATGGTGTGATTTATTTCGGCATCTCCGTAATATCAACCCATGTTTGCTTGGAACAAACGAGAACTGGACCTAAGCTGCAATTTCATCTTTTCGTACTGGTTGGGAATAGGAAAAGCTGAGCGAATCTGCAAACCAATAGGAGCGAAACTTGCATTATCTCAAGGTTAATTTTGTCGGTCAGATCGCATCACTCGCTATGACTAAGGATGCTAGGTTACAGCTCAAATATTATATGCGGAGCCAGAACCCTGATTTGCGAATTTAGGAAATGATAACGAATAACGTATGTCATATTTAATATGTAATAGTACTCAGGCAACGTATATGTAACTCCTCGAATAAATGGAACCTACCAAAACTAACCATTCACAAATCCTAAATATAGGATAAATAGTAAATATTTCAAATCAGTAACCGTAGTTTTCGGCAAACATGTGAGTTGAATGTATTATCAGTTTATAAACATTTTGTTGCAGGAAAACGTGAATACAAAACAAATTTACGACTGACAGAAATTAGGTTACATTTATTTTGCTTTTGTCGTACATTTTTAGCACTAAAGGAATATTCGTAACAAGCATATATAGAGCCAAAATTTACTTCCGTTAGTTTTATTTTCATAAACTAAAACTAGGAAGTCTACTATACCACAGAAACACTACAAATTCCCTAAGTGTTGTCATTACTGTGAACCTATATTTTGGTATGCTCGTATTATAACTTATTTTGTAGACGCCTAGACACTCAACCGGGCGCTTGAAAAAAACAGACCATATCTATCTGCCATATTAATATATGGTTCCCCCCGGACGCTATGTATGTCTGCTTGTTCTACCAACCCATGCAAACTGGGTGATATAGAGCAACTCTTTAGAATTTTATATTGTACCATTATTAATTTAGACTTTCGTAGTTGATCTCCGACATTTACGTTGACTGACAAAAGGTGGTTCAGCAGAGTTGGGGAAACGTATTATTTAAGGAAGATAGCAACTGTTTTAAGATCAACTAAAAAAACCTACTGACTGAAGGAACAGGTATGTATAACACTGATGAACCTTAACGCTACTGTACTGCATATTTTCAAATAGCATCTGAAGAAAATCACTAGCAACCACATTTGTAGTAATACATTACTTTTTCACGAAACCATACTGCTGTCCAATCGGACAAATCTAAGTTCCGAGGAATATGTATAAGCTGTAATCACAACTCATGACCCATTGATTTGATTTAACATTTTCCATCAAGTTCAACTATACCAAAACGTGTAAATACTCGCACTGTTTTAGTTTTTAAATGACAAGAAATCTCCGTATATGACAACATAAACTTATAATCATCTGTTTAGCATAGCAGACAATTATGTGACTGTTGAAGAAATTTCAGTTCCATCCTAGTTATTTGTACTTAGTAATAAAGCTAACTTATACTCAGACTGTAGCCCTTTTAGGGTTACTGCTGGTCCCAATCTCGGGTAAAGGGTCAGGAACCTAACCCTGTAGGGAACACTCTTGCTAAAAAATACTTACCAAGAAAAACCAATCAAACCGTCCAAACACTGCCTTGAGAGTTAAAGGATCTTAATTCAGAAGAATTATGATGCCTCATGGTGAAAGCCGATATTATTCGGAAGTTGCGAGGCTGATGCCCTCCTCTAACAAACAGAGCAACAATTAGAATAAGTTCACGTAATAACTGGAGAATGTGAGACCGGAAGTAACAAATTCCTGCAGAAATGAGATACTCGGTGGTTCTTGGAATAAGTTAAACTCATTGGACCCAAGCTGGACAGAAAGGGTTAGATTTGGGGGGAATTGTTGTACTCTGATTATGGAGAAAGTGCTTTATATAAACGAGTTGCACCGATTATATCCAAAGAAACACGGAATGCATTTACGGTGTGGGAATCTTATCGATCCAGAATCAAAGCATTCTTCAAAACAAATGAGAGAATCAGAATGAATGTTATCAAGTGTTATGCACTTACCAATGATAGCAACGAAGACGGTAAAGATCAGTCTTACGAAGCTACAGTCGGTCGTGGAGAAGTGCCCGGGAAAATGACACGACTATCCTGGTAGTAGACCTAAACTCCGAATTTGGAATTGACAACATCGATTAGGAAGACATGAAACAACATGGAGAAAGAAACGAGAATGGCGAGATTGTCAAATTCATGTGCCGTCAACAAAATGTCTATTAGTGGCACGATATTTCCCCATAGCATACATAAAGCTACATAGGTCTCACGTTACAAAGAAACGGATCGATCGTATTTGAATCAATAAAAAATCTTAAGGTTCATGAAAGGCAAAGACACTATGGGATAACAGGAATGATATTGCTTAAGATCACCACGTGATGATGCACAAGCTGAACGCTCAGTTAAAGAACTGGATAACTTGGTAAATAGTATTACAAACGTTCAATACAGACTTCGAGATACTGACAAACTTAACTAATTCAAGATCGCTCTCAGTAATAAGTTTCGAGCTCTACAAGATCTACTCAAAGAGAGAACAATTATGGAGGACAAATGGAGACACATGAAGAAAACATTAACTTCAATAGGCCTGATTAGGCTGTGTCGCATGAAACACAATCATACAGAATGAATCTATTGAAACCCTGGGCAGAATTCAAGAAAGGAAGAACAAGACAGCAGTTAACAATAGTCAAACAAGAGTAGTGAAAGTCAAGGTGCAAACCATATACACAGAAGCAAACAAGTGAATAAAGAGAAGCATTAGAGCCCGCAAGTAGAAATACGTGTAAAACCTAGCAATGACGGATGAAAAGTTTGCAAGAGAAGTAAATATGAAACAACAAAGAAACTAGCAGGGAAATACAGTAAACTGGGGCGACCAGTCAAGGAAAAAAGCAAGCCAATCACTGAGATTCAAGAACAGAGGAACAGGTGAGTAGAACACTTTGAAGATCTCCAGGATGGCCCAAATCTATTGGACATTGAAGTAGCACATACAGACTTACCATGCCTGCTACTCTACCAACGATCGAAGAAATCAGTATGGCCAATCAGGAAAAGATGCTCGATGGTGATAGGAAATATATATATATATATATATATATATATATATATATATATATATATATATATATATATATATATATATATATAGGAAATCAAACTGTATTATGAGACAAGCCCTAACTGGGGATCTTGAAGACAAGAGTAAATGAGGCAGATCAAAGAACACATCACGCCGAGAATCAAAAGCAGACATAAAGTGAATGGAATAGCACTTGGAAACAAATGGAAGGAGAGCCTAGAACAGAGTTAGTTGGAGAATCCTGACCAGTGGCCTATGTTCTATGAGAGGTAAAAGGAGTAAGTACGTGGATAATTCTAAACGTCTATCAGTGTACATTTATGTCTCGGAATAGACTTTGGATTATCTCAAAGGATTAGTTCACTGACCTATATATGCGAGACATTTGATGTGATTCTAATACACATCACTCAATGTATATTATTCTTAGTTCATTCAGTCATTGTATTGCTTGGATGGATGTCTGATTATACAAATAAAAATTTTCATCTAGTTAAAACAATTTGGATCATTGAGGATAATAATACCAATAGGACAGTTATGAACGTTCAGATCCAGTTGTTTGGTTGGTTCACTTAGAGTTCCTCGAATAATATTTTATCGGGAGATGTTTGAGATTTTTAAAAATGGAGGTATTTCATCATTGAACAGGATAGCCCAGGATTGGATAAGACGCTAATACGTGAATAAAGAGATAAAGTTAAATACAAAAGATTGAACAATGAGTTGATAATCAATGAAAATCACCAGAATAACAGGTAACAAAAATAAAAATGTAGATAATTTATTTTGTAGAAATGTGTAAAAAAACAAGTTACGAATATACGATTACCGGGTTTGTTAATCAAATGATAAAAAGTCGATAAAAACAACAGTGGGAAACAATTACATGTAAATCTTATTAAATTGGTGTGGGAGATATTTCAAATGAGGGAAAGTTTAAAGGTCGACGGCGGCGGGAAGAGTGTTGAATATTCACTTCAGTATCAGTCGTATTTGTAACCGGAACATTCTCCTTTCCCTTGTCATGTTGTTCTAGGTCAATATTCCAAAAACCATCTGGTGTTGATGGTGATGTTCGATTGACTGATTTTCCATGAGATTTTTTAGTAGGCTGCAGAAAATTATTTATAATGAATAAATGAGTTATGAGAGGATGGTAGAGAAAACATATTAAATTAGATAGTCTATCAAGTCGAAAAATTAGTCCAAAAGATAAAGGCTATTCGAAACTAATCTGAACCAAATCGAATTGAGATCAGTTTTAGATGAAGAAATTAATCTAATTAATAACAGAATTTGAGTAATTAGATACACGTTTGTGATGTATTGACTTACATTTATTGTTGTAGCTACAAATATGCTATTCAACAAAGGAAACTGAAAATTAGTGGCGATTGCTAACCTGTAACGATACGATTAACATTTGTGTGTGACTAAACTGCTAAGTTACAGATCTATTTAGAGTTTGAAATGGATATATCTATCTTGAATGAGGCGAAGGTCTTAAAGACGAGTGAATTTTTTTTGTGAAATAAATAAATCGAGGATTGTTACTATATAACTATTTTATGTGCAAGAAACGATTATGATAGCTGCAGTCATTTTTATTCGCTATTGCAGAACAATTACTAGATATCTACAAGAACTCGTGCTTACGTGACTGAAGAAAAAACAGTAGTTCAAGATAACACTTACAAGGTCATTTTATTAGATATTGTGATGAGTCACCTGCTTCGGTTTGAGCACCCGGGCAGTATCACAGCCCACACGCAAACCAAGTGACTTGTGTGGTGCATATGTATTCGTTGACCCTTTGTACCAATATTTATGTGTTCAAACAAATAAATAAACACACATGTTGACTAATATCTATACGTAAGACAACGGAGATAATGCTAACAATATAATTGTTCAGTGGTAATTTAAGTAAAAAAATGATTAGGTTGGTAAGCATGTAGAAAACAGAAATAAATTGAAATCACTTTCTTCTATACAAAATAAATACTTTGTAAAAGTATCAAGTTTATCCATCGGTTTAACGAAACATGAACACGAGCTATTTATGAATGTTACACCAACTATTATTGAACCTACACTGAGATTAGTAACATTCTCTAACGATCATTACCAATTGATTACAGTAATTTTATATAAAGCAGTGACTCTATAAAAAAGGAATGAAGAAATTAGATATTGTTCCTAGAGAGATATATGATAATTTACTTCTGTCCACAATAATTTTTCTATACAAACAACATGCGATATCGTAATGCCCACTTTATATATTTTTTCGACCGATCAAAGGATAAATTTAAACATTAATTAATGGACAAACTTAACTCTTCCTGGGACTCTTCTGGGGCTACTGCTGGTCCCCAAGCCCGGATAAAGGAGGGGGGTTGGACATGGGGTTAGCGACTCCATCCCGTAGAAAACTAACTTGCTAAATAAACGCTAGCCAGAAAAAATTATTCCAACCATTTAAACTCTGCCCTGGGAGTCAGAAGGTCTTCATTTAGAAGAGTTATGACGCTCCATGGTGAAAGCCGAGTTCCTTCGGAAGCCACGAGGCTGATGCCCCTTCTGACAACCAGAGAAACTATTTATTTAGGTACATGGAATGCTCGTACAACGTGGGAAACCGAGAGTTTTCCAAATCGCTGCAGAAATGAGGAGATACAACCTGGGGGTGCTTGGGATCAGTGTGACACGTTGGACGCAAGTTGGACAACAACGACTAGCTTCAGGGGAGCTTCTGTTATACTCTGGCTATGGAGAAGAAAATGCCCCACATACACAAGGATTTGCATTGATGCTATCAAAACAAGCACAAAATGCACTTATAGGATGGGAATTTATGAACTAAGGATCATCAAAGGCTGCTTCAAAACAAAGAAAGAGAGCATTTCAATGGACGTCATCCAATGCTATGCGCCTACCAACGACTACAATGCAGACGTTAAAGACAAATTTTACTATAGGCTGCAGTCAATCGTCGAGAAATGTCCAATCAAGGACTTGACCATTCTGATGGGAGACCTAAATGCCAAGGTTGGAATGGACAACATTGGATATGGAGACATCATGAGACGACACGGAATCAAAAAGGGTGAGATTTGCAAACCTGTGTGCCTTTAATAAGCTGGTCATAAGCTACACTATATTCCCACACAAACGCAAACACAAAATCACATGGACTTCATCGGATCACACTACACAAAACCAAATCGAGCATATCTGCATCAACAAAAAGTTCAGGAGGACAATGGAGGATGTGAGGACTAAGAGAGGAGCTGGTATAGCATCAGATCATCACCTGTTGGTCGCCAAGATGAAATTGAAACTCAAGAAGCATCGGACAATGAGGCGGACAACAGCACAAAAGTCCGATACGGCCTTTCTTCGGGATACGGAAAAACTCAACAAATTCAAGATAACCCTCAGCAATAAGTTCCAGGCCTTTCATGATCTACTCAATGGAAAGAGAACTACTATGGAGAGCAACTGGAAAGGAATAAAAGAAGCAATCACTTCGACACGTCATGAGCTTCGGGGCCACAAAAAGCATCACCGCCAAGAATGGATCACTGTTGATACACTGGATAAGATTCAAGAAAGGAGGAACAAGAAGGCAGCAACCAATACCAGCCGAACAAGAGCAGAGAAAGTCAAGGCACAAGCTGAATACAGGTGAAGAGGAGCATCAGAACTGACAAAGGTAAATATGTGGAAGATTTAGCAATGGTGGCAGAAAAGGCTGCAAGAGAAGGAAACATGAGAGAATTGTATGACACGACAAAGAAACTCTCTGGAAATCGCCACAAACCAGAACGACCAGTGAAAAGCAAGGAAGGCGAGGTAATCACTAACATTGAAGAACAACGAAACAGGTGAGTAGAACACTTCAAAGGACTCTTGAATCGACCAGCCCCACTGAACCCACCCAATATCGAAGCAGCACACACGGACCTCCCAATCAATGTTGGCCCACCAACAATTGAAGAAATCAGCATGGCCATCAGACAAATCAAGAGTGGCAAATCAGCAGGACCAGACAACATCCCGGCAGAGGCACTGAAAGCAGACGTAGCGGTAACTGCAAGGATACTCTACATTCTCTTCAGCAAGATTTGGGATGAAGAACAAGTACCAACAGACTGGAAAGGACTTCTGATCAAAATATCACAGAAAGGCGATCTCAGCAAGTGTGATAACTACAGGGGCATCACCCTTCTCTCAATACCGGGAAAAGTCTCCAACAGGATATTGTTAAACAGAATGGACTCCATAGACACCCAACTTCGAGACCGACAGGCAGGATTCCGTAAGGATCGATCGTGTACAGACTAAATCACAACACTACAAAGTATTGTGGAACAATCAATTAAAACGGAATTCATCACTCTACATCAACTTCATTGACTGAGAAAGCATTTGATAGCGTGGACAGGACAACACTATGGAAGCTTCTTTGACACTACGGCATACCTGAGAAGAAATTCACTATCATACGGAATTCCTATGATGGATTAAACTGCAAAATCGTGCATGGAGGACAAATGACAGACTCGTTCGAGGTAAATACCGGCGGCAGGCAAAGTTGCTTAATCTCGCCCTTTTTCTTTCTCCTGGTGATCGAATGGATCATGAAGACGTCAACATCTGAGGGGAAATATGAGATACAGCTAGGATGCAGCTGGACGGTCTAGAATTCGCAGATGATCTGGCTCTCCTATCGCACACGCAACAACAAATGCAAGAGAAGACGACCAGTGTAGCAGCAGTAGGTCTCAACATACACAAAGGGGAAAGCAATATACAACACAGCATGCACCAATCCAATCACACTTGATGAAGATTTGAAAGATGTAAAGACCTTCACATATCTGGGCAGTATCATTGATGAAGACGGCGGATTTGATGCAGATGTGAAGGCGCGGATCGGCAAAGCAAGAGCAGCATATTTACAACTGAGGAACATCTGAAACTCAAAGCAACTGTCAACCAACACCAAGGTCAGGATTTTCAATACAAATGTCAAGACAGTTCTACTGTATGGGGCAAAAACCTGGAGAACTACGAAAGCCATCATCCAGAAAATACAGGTGTTTATTAACAATTGTCTACGCAAAATACTTCGGATCAGTTGGCCGGACACTATTAGCAACAACGTACTGTGGGAGAGAACAAACCAGATCCCAGCGGAGGAAGAAATCAGGAAGAAGCGCTGGGAGTGGATAGGACACACATGGAGGAAAGCACCCAACTGCATCACAAGACAAGCCTCCACATGGAATCCTCAAGGCCAAGAGAAAAGAGAAAGACCAAAAGACATATTACGCCGGGAAATGGAGATAGACATGAGAAGAATGAACAACAATTGGATCGAACTAGAAAGGTAGGCCCAGGACATAGTAGGTTGGAGAATGCTGGTCGGCGGCCTATGCTCCATTGGGAGTAACAGACGTAAGTAAGTAATGGACAAACTTAGCAACAATAAATAGATTAACTTACTAATTTTTAAGTTACGTCAATTAAATAGTTTAGAATTTAGTGTGACAATTTTATGTACAATACAAAAAGCCAAATTAAGATCGACTGGACAATTCAGAGTAATGTCTAAAACTTAAAAATATTTGGAAGATAAGTGTTTATCGATTTCTCTTAATGAATTGTTACAAACTATTGGCTTTTGGATCCATCTAAGCAAACGAATATCCAGAATGGTTTGCGATATCCATTGTTTCTCTTTTATATCTTTGTTGTTCTTGAAAATGTTGGTCAACAATCAATCAAGCCGAAGTAATCACCAATTTATGTTGCAAAAAAAGATTATATATTGTTTATGATTTAGTAATAATTCAATTACCATTAAAAAACCGCTCTACGTAAAAGGATATATTTCTTAATTTAAAACGAGTATGGGAAAAAAAGTATCTAACCTTAGCACGATGAGCACATTTTTTGTGACTACAAAGAGCAGGTTTATGTTTAAAGACTTGATTACAAAGGTCACACGGGTAAACGATATTCTCATCACTATTTTCTTGATCCATATCAGACTTTTCAGACGCATCGTTCGTATCAGTCTGATTAAGACACTACTTGTGTAAAAGAAAATATAACTCAATGGATAAAGATTTTACACTTATCATGATAATTATTTTATATTGACAAAGGCGAAATCTATTTACAGAAACCCCGCATTTACATGAATAAAGTCTCGTATTAGAAGAAAAATCATTTGAATCAATCTTTGGAATTGACATAATCTTAGCTACGTGTTAAAATAATACATAGTGTCAAAGTTGAGTATCGACTTGATAAACTGATCTGAATCACTATTAATTCCCAGGTGGAATGAACCATTGACAATCTTGAGAAAGTTGTTTTATGAATTTAATATCTCGTATTCTTATTTTTTCAACAGGAGAGAAGAAGGAAGTGAGTTATGAGATTTTAGTTACAATAGGAACAAGATACATGAAATAAATGATCTGAATAAACCGCGTGAAACAATAAAATAGTATTAGTTAAAATAAATGGGAATTTTCAAATTTTTGTTCACCTTAACCACGGTCTGTCCAATGTAAACCTCACCTCAAAGCAAAGGCTATAACACTACACCGTATAGGTCTACAGATATGACTATTCATTTTAGCTCCATGCCATTCTAGTCACTAGGGCAGTGATGATACAAAAAACTTAGAGGTACAATTGTGTATAAGGAGATAGGAAAATATTTACACCCCCTTTTTCACCTATGAAGCCATGCATATTGGAGTGAGCAGTTGATAAGCATGAGGAAAACGGGAAAATATGGAGGACCATTAATCAAAAAAGCCTTTCTATGTAATCATCCTAGCCACCTTCCGCAAAATTTCATTATGTATCGGTCATAAAGATATATCAACTACATTTGCCTACAGGAATGATTATATTACGTTTAATTTTATTAAAAGGTGTTGAAATGAATACTCGATTAGGATGACATCGCTTTAATATGTATGTTTATCGTATAAACCAGTTTTGAACAGCTGAGTTTTTAAAAGAATATAATTCAAAATATTACTTCTGCGATAAGAACTCTTTAAAAAAGAACAATTACTTAGTCAAGCCATTTTAAAAAATATGCCTGAAGTGTATGTAATTCATGTTGTGAAGTTCCTAACAAACAACAATGAACCATCAACGAAAATCGTTGGAGGCAATCCATTAAGGTTTGAAGACCCGTCAAACTGGAAGCTTACAGTGAACTTACTGATTTCAAACAAATATAAGATAAACAAAGATTTGTAGCTTAGGTGGATGATTTTGGTGGAGTTTTGTTCTCCGAGCTGAATGGTTTGGTCGTGGAGCTTTTGTCGTTATTCTGAATGACATCATCGTGATGGACGAGGCTACTGTATAATTACAATTATTTGAGACAGTGAGCGAACAATACGGAGTAATGAACTGTATTGATCTACCTGTCCATATGTTTGATAACAACTTTCTATATTTTTAGTTTATAGCTTATTCATCTTTCTGAGTTGCTAAAAATATGAATAAATGCATTAATATACCCGTATGTACTATCTGATAAATCCATTGAACACTCAGACCAATAGACAATATATACAAACAATACATTCAATGTTACATCAGAGTAATGACTGATAGAATAATTTACATTGTGGACTAACTTGAGCTAAACAACTAAAGAAAATCAGGAAGCACTGGATATTCATCTCGTCCTTAGAAATCACTTCCCAGGAGTACGTATCCCCAACTCTCCCCGGAATTAAGCTTAGAAACTTTAGTAATAGCTAAAACCTTCTACAACTTCAAAAACTATCTAGAGTATTGCTTTTGGTAAAAATCACGGAAACGTACCATAACACCAACGCTATTTGCAACAGAAAGTGTTTTTTTTGCAACCAAGGTTGTACGTTGTGGAGGAAGTGGAAACTTGAAGTTTGACTCATCACGGGTCGGTGAACCACCAATAGATGGGAAGTGAGATTTCGCTTTATTACGTTTGTGCTTTGTTGATGTATCTAGGATGACGAAAGGCAAATATGGATAAAAACACAAATGAGAGTTGCAGGGTTTTGTAACTTTCATAACGAAATCTTAAAACGTGGTTATCCAACAGTTCTGGCGTTCCTGAAACCCTCAGCATGTGAGACGCGTGTAGTACTGTAGCGTAGCTTTCTGTGTTTCACATTGTCTCAGTAATTATATCATGAATAGTCTGGACTAAACATCTTACGAAAGTATGGAGTTTATTTAGCTAATTCATCCGTATGAAGCATAAGCAATTTACTGCTTATTTTCAACTAAAGTAGAAGACATACTCCTATATATATATATATATATATATATATATATATATATATATATGGAAACATTTATAAGTTCCTACAAACCAATTTGACCATAGGAAAAATTAGCTTACTACTTGAGATACATATTAATGTATGGTCACTGAAAATTTTATCGTTTTGATATTGAGTAAAATGATATACGATCACCATATTCCTAATAGTGATGCAATTTACTTTACTTTTAACTTTCGACACGATCTATGGGGGAAATAGTGATTGCTAGTCCTAGTGCTGTTATTTTATCTAAATGACCAGTTCATTTAAGTGAACGACCTGCAAAACTAGGATGGTTTAATTGCTTATGATAATCATAATTATTTTTGAATTAATAAATCGTACATAAGCATGTAATTTTATTAGATAGAAATCTATTCTGGTTAACGATCTCTTGAATATCAATACATTATTTGAACACACACAAAACACCAGAAATTTATACATTCTAATAGTAATAACACAAACTATTAAGAATATTTGTACTATTCTTTAAATTATATATGACGAATTTGCATTTTACGTAAGTATCCAGTCAAAGTGATTTTCTAATCTGACGTTTGTAAAGTAATACATTTACGGAAAATTTATCAGATTAATTTCATCAACACAAAAATGGGTAACGTTTCCATAAAACGATTGTGATGAGAACAGTTATGATGTAAAACCTATTCTAACGCTTTCGGTGTTAATCTGCAAGGTAATTTATGCTGCCTATGACAAGTCATACGTTGCATGACAAGCGGAAAACCCCGAACTAATCAGTTCCACATGTTTTGCAATATGGTTGTCAAGTAATTGTTGATAATTTCTTCGGAAGTCTTGCTGTTTTAATATATTACTGTTTATAGTATTCAGTATGTATGAGTAAGAAATATATCGCAAACATGCATCTTTATACTGTCTACTTGGTGTGTGAATTGAAGCTAGATTCAGGGAAGAAATCAAGTGATATTTCCCGACGATAAGTGAAGCACATTATGAAAGATCTTTAAATATTAAGTTCCAGGTAAAGCTAATGAAATTGAAATCACTATTGAGATATTCACAAGTAACATCTAGGGTATGGTTTGTGGGTAAACTAACTAATCATTATGTTAGAAATAATTAATACAATGAAGTATTTGGATATTTATTAAGTCAGTGAATGTTAAATTATAAGTATTTGAACTTCAAAATGAAACAAACTACCGCTAGTAATGGATTTTGGTGGTAAATGAACTGATGTTTCGGATTCGAGAAAACCAGAAGGCAGACTTATGTCATCACCAGTATCATCAGATTTCTGTTTTTCTTGCTTGTTTTCTTTACTGGAAAATGTACGATGAAAGTAACGACAAGATGGTCGATGTGTACGTTTTGGTCGATGACAGACAACCTGAACCCGGTCAGGGCCGTTCGCTGATATTAACTTGTTAGGGTTTCTAATACCTGGAATAAATTCTGCGCCAATAGGTCCCGTCCGGTTAGTACTTGGAGACTCTAACCTAATGTTGAAGAATTAACATTCAAAGGGATTTCAGCATTAAATTTGAAAGAATAACAGAATAAATAACTTGATTAGAATAATTAATATTCTTCTTGTTAAACTGAGACAGTCTTGTCGTAACAATTAAAGGCATTGCCTAGATACTTAAGCTAAATAGAAAAATACATCTGATCCCATGATATGTAAGGTGATTTGATAGTCTAAGCAGACTTTGCTAAGTAATGCATAATACTTTTATGATGCGAAATCAAACACAACATTGACATATTACTTCGAAAACTTGTAATTCAAGTAAGTTTTGTAAAATCCATTATAACGCAGGACTTATGGTTACCATTTTTTAAATGAAGATCCGCGTTCAGTAGAAAAAATAAGAAATCCATTTACAATAAAAACCATGGAACAAAATCTGCTTAATTTTTATCAACTGTTGGTAAGGTGAATTGAAATTATTCATTTACAAGATTCTTAAAAGGAATACAAAGGATAATTAAAAACACCACTTGTTACAAGAATTCAGGTAAACATTCCACATTATTTGTCTTGGTAGCACATTGGTAATAATAAATATAACAGTTGGAAAGTTAAGCAATAGGAACAATCCACTTATTACTACCATTACTTACAGCTGTGAACTTTTTGCTTCATAACTCTATATTACTTACGAGTATTCAATAGTTGTTTTTCTCTAAGTACCTCATTAGTTAAACTAATTATAAACTCTGTTTACTCTCCTATTAGTTGAAATATACTTTGCTTGAATAGTCATTCCAAACTATCTATTGCTTACGTTTGACTGCTTTGTGGTAGGTTACTGTTGTCTTATAGCTTTGGATGTAAGCTTAACTTGAACTCACCATAGTTTGTTGTAGAACTACATATTACTTATATTTTATACATTAATGTTTCCAGGAAGACAAGACGGTCTTTGGACTCAAATTGATAGTGGGTGAGTTATTTAAGTGAATATGACAATAATAGCTAAACATTACTATGAATAAAATAGCTGTAAGCAGTATGATACATACATGTTCCCTTCATTATTTGCACCTGACATATCCAACATAGAAGAATCCCTGCAAGTAGCATCGTAATCAGCCAGATCGTTGTGATTAATTGCATTTTTTACTGCTAAGGAAGCATCATAAATTTGTGATGGTGGGCTAAGGGAACCGACAGGGAAAACGCTGTTAGTTAGTGTTGTAGATTCGCTTTTGGATACTTCGTCTTCACATTGACTCTCATCAGGTGCTCCAGAAGGGGATTTGCGAACACCTGTAACAGGAAAATTTTTTGACCATAGTTAAAAAACTTATTTGTAGTAAAGAGAATCACAAAGATTAAGACGCGGCGAACTCCTTTATTACGAAAGCAAGTGATTTAAGGTGTTGAAATTTAAACTTACCAGGCAAATCTAAATAAAACGATCAGGATGCTAGCTTTTTTTTTAAAACCACCCAATATTTGCATTTCCGAAGTGAAACAAGAATATTTAACTGAAGTGCTTATTGGGTCAACCGCGAAATGCAAAAGTCACCCTCTTTGGAGTTTAACCACTTTGAAATAGAAAAAGTTGATCTAAAGAATAGCAAAACAACTAGAATAGTTTTCTAGGCAATCTGTGAGTCACTGAATTCAAACCCTCTTTATTCATTGAACGATAGTGACTTAAATCGTAGGAACAATCTCCATGAACTATGCTGACTGATATTACGCACACCAACGAATGGCATTACTCCACGGAACGTTTAGATAGAACAGTTTCCACCACAGGCGAGCTGCTGTATAAGTCCATCGACGTCTTGGACGATGGGCAGAACTATTGAGACGCTACAAATCACCGGGCCCAGGTGACGTACCTATGGCCCTTTTTAGAGATGGTGGTGACTTTCTGACTAAGGAACTGACGACGTTGTTTACAAAGGTTTGGGAGCTAGAAAGCGTACCAACGTCATGGAATGAGTCGATAGTTGTCCCTATCGTTGAAAACGGTTCATGTCGTTCCTGTAACAACTATCGGGGGATCCTGATCGTTGTTGCTACCTTGACGTGGTGGTCGGGCTTGCCTATCGTGAAGCAACCGAGCTATACTGGCTGGAACAACCGTTCCTCAAGGTCCTACCATGTCAGACAGGTCGGTTGAAGAGCGGTAAGACTAAAAGCAACAAACCCAAGGTCCGAAGGCGAAGTCGTACTGCTGACTGTACAGAGGTGTGACAGCAGTAAGGTGTTTCCTTCAAACAACCAGCATGACAGCGATGCTGCCTTCCCACAAGGAGGGGTGGGATTAGAAAAGGTCGACCCTAAAAATGCACACCTCACCTTACCTCACGGATTTCCGTCTCCGGCGGTAAGGCCCATTTGAAGAACGGAGCTAATACGTCAAAAACCTCCCACGAAAAGGCCGTGCGCGACCGGCCTCAAGCAATTGTCCCTTGGGCACTGCGGTCACGCTCTCAGGTCACTGAGACCACCTCTAATCCAACTTCCTTCTTGTGTACCTCTAGAAGAACCCTTCCACGGTGTGAGCAACCGGGAAGTGATAACCGCCCTCATAACTCTAACAGCACTCGAGACCACTGTATTCATAATCAACCTTCCTCTTCAATTCCTATTATTCCTCCTACATCGACTTTCAACCCTAAACTTCCTCTTTCGGCTTCCTCCTCAAGTGTCACCATACCCAACGATTCTAGTGCTCAAAACTCTGTCCCAGGTTTACTGAAACCTCGCCCCAAACTACACATTGGAGCCTTCAACGTACGCACCCTATGTCAAATCGGTCAGAAGGCTTCCTTGGCTAGAACCCTAGAGTCTCTTTCCATTGATGTATGCTGTGTCTCCGAGACACGCATACAGGATTCCAGTGTGGTCATTCACTTGACCTCACCTCGGCAAAACGGAGAGCCAACAAGATACACCCTCCGTGTATCTGGTGACCCGATGGCCAGTTCTCGTGGACTGGCAGGTGTAGGCATAGCACTAAGCATGAGGGCGGAACAAGCACTGCTAGAGTGGATCCCCGTCAACAGTCGTCTATGTGCTGTTCGGCTAAACGGCTCCGTAAAAACTCGGATGTATATGGACACACGTCGTTGCCTTTTTGTCGTTTCTGCCTACGCTCCCACTGACTGCAGCTCAGATGATGTGAAAGATGAATTTTACAGAAAGCTATCTGAACTTCTTCAGAAAGCTAAACGCTCATAGTACTCATAGGGGGTGACTTTAATGCTCAGATAGGTAGCTTAAACCAAACAGAAAGGCATTTAGGTGGATATTTTAGCATTCCGACACAGCGAACAGATAATGGTGATCGTCTCCTGCAACTGTGCTCAGACAATCGCTTATTTTTAACAAACACAAATTTTAAGCATCGTCTAACATGGCGACCCTCTACACTAAGCCAACGATGGACTCAAATAGACCATATTGCCATCAGTCATGGTTGGAGAGGGTCGGTAGAAGATTGTCGCTCATTCTGGAGTACCTGCTTGGACTCCGACCACGCCCTAATACGGGCACACATCTGCTTGCGCCTCACTGGACGCAAAAAAGCCACAGTACAAAGACCCATTCGAACCGGACTGAGTGGCGAGGAAACCAAAAGTAGGTTCCAGGAACAACTGAGGTCACGATTAGGTAGTTCTGAAAACGAGGTTGACCCAGTTGTTGCTTGGAAAGCCATACATACAGCTGTGGAAACAGCAGTGACATCTATCAATGATTTAAACCACAGAGTTACAAAGAACCAGTGGATTTCTTCAAAGTCTATCACACTGATAGATTCTCGCAAACCCGTCCCAACAGGTTCCGAACATGATGAAGAGCGACAACAAATCAGATCTAGGTTAAGAAAAAGTCTAAGAAACGACCGTGAGCAGTGGTTAGCAATGAAAGCAAAAGAGATGGAAAAGGCGGTGACTATAGGGAACACAAGATAGCTTTATAGACTAATAAAAGAAACTGGAACTAATAAGTCAAGTGTAAGTGAGATTATATCAGAAAAAGACGATACTCTCATCTGCTCCCAGTCCAGACGTTTAGAACGATGGGCGGAACATTTCAGAGAACAGTTCAACTGGCCTTCAGCAACTCCACAAATACCCTCCATTCCCAGACAGTGTGAATGGAACATTGAAGTAGGTCTCCCAAATCTAGTAGAAGTTCAAAAGGTTATAGCTAATCTGAAACGAGGAAGGGCAGCTGGTCCAGATGGATTGGCTCCAGAGGTCTTTAAGGATGGTGGTCCAATTTCAGCGATTAGGTTGACTAATATTTTACCTAAGATCTGGGAGTTAGACGTTATCCCATCTAACTGGTCACAATCACTGATCGTCCCAATATATAAGAAAGGGTCAAAATCATCCTGTGACAACCACAGAGGGATTAGTTTAACTAATATAATATCCAAAATACTAGCCTCGATAATTATCAGACGCCTTACTAAGACTCGTGAACTGCAAACACGAGAGAATCAAGCTGACTTCAAAGCTGGTCGTGGCTGCATCGACCACACATTCACCATTCGTCAGGTTCTAGAACATAGGCATACATATCGGCGTCCGACAATGGTGGTCTTTCTTGACTTGAAAGCAGCATTTGACTCGGTAGACCGCGAGATTCTGTGGCAGTGTCTGTCATTGAAAGGTGTACCTCAGAAGTACATAAACCTTGTGAAGACTCTTTACTCGAACACTACTAGTGGAGTGAGAGCTTATGGCGAACTGTCATCTGCTTTTGCAACCTCAAGTGGTGTCCGTCAAGGCTGTTCACTTTCTCCATTTTTGTTTAATTTCATCATAGACCTACTGATGGAAATATCATTCTCGTCCATTGAATTCTCGGGTATTGATCTCCTTACAGGAGATCCACTTATCGACTTAGAATACGCAGATGACATAGTCCTGTTTGGTGAAGAATCTGATAAAATGCAGTCTTCTGGTAGCACTAAGCAGAAAATGCCAGAATGTTTGGAATGCGCTTCTCTCCCTCTAAATGCAAGTTGTTGCTTCAGGACTGGTCTGCGTCAACACCTGAACTAAGGATAGGGAGTGAAGTAGTCGAACGCGTTGGCAACTTCACTTATCTTGGAAGTCTGATCAGCCCTAATGGGTTGGTATCTGACGAAATCTCAGCACGAATTCGAAAAGCTCGTTTGGCTTTTGCCAACTTGCGTCACCTATGGCGAAGGCGAGATATCCGTCTATCAATAAAAGGACGAGTATACTGCGCGGCAGTCCGTTCTATTTTACTTTACGGATGCGAAACATGGTCATTAAGAGTAGAAGACACTCGTAAGCTATTAGTATTTGACCACAGATGCCTTAGAAATATTGCTGGCATCTGCTGGGATCACTGGGTAAGTAATAGTGAGGTTAGACGCAGGGTATTAGGGAATGGTGGTAAATCAGTTAATGAGGTTATGAATCTTCATCGACTGAGATGGTTGGGCCACGTGTTACGTATGCGTGAACACCGACTGCCACGACGTGCAATGCTATCCGGTATTGGAGATGATTGGAAGAAAGTTAGGGGCGGCCAAACCAAAACGTGGCATCAGTGCTTGAAGACACTAACTTCTAGTCTGAGCCATGTTAGTAGATGCAGATTACTTGGTTGGGGTCCGCGTGACTTTCGTAACCAATGGTTGGAGACTGTTGGTGACATGGCTCAGAATCGATCACAATGGCGTCGGTGTATACACTCCCTGTCTTCCCTTAAACTAAGAGATTAAAATCACTTCATATCTTTCTTTCTAAGGACCAATTCTTTCTTCTTGTACTATATCTCTATATGCAATCTTTCTCTTATATATTACCACCTTTGACCTAACCACTTCTATGAATCCGGTGTTCATCTTGTTGTGCTAATGAGGTATGGCAACCTGGACCGATGCACATATGTGCCTGGTCCTACGTTGTAGCTGACTGACTGACTGATCGGGGGATAGGTCTACTTCCGATTGCATCCAAACTATTGTCTTCCGTCAGGTTGGTTTTCGTTCTGGTCGAGGATGTATTGATCATATATTCACCCTCCGCCAAATGTTAGAACACCGCCATACTTTTCAAAGGCCAACAATCGTAGTGTTTCTTGACATCAGGGCTGCCTTCGATTCGTTGGACAGGACTGTTCTATGGGATTGTCTATTGAAGAAGGGTGTGCCTGGGAAGTTTATTAACATCCTAAAAGCCCTATATACAAACACCTCAGGCAGAGTGAGGGCATACAACCACCTTTCTCCATTGTTCCATTCGAGCAGTGGGGTTAGACAGGGTTGCCCAATCTCACCATTCCTCTTCAACTTTGCCATCGATGACATTCTGGAAACAGCTCTGATGAATGTAAGTAATGGTGGTGTGGATCTGTTGCCTGGAGAAAGACTTCTCGACCTTGAGTATGCGGATGATATTGTCTTACTGTGCGATAACGCCCAAACCATGCAATTTACACTTAATCAGTTGGCAATCAATGTCCGTAGGTACGGTATGTGCTTTGCACATTCGAAGTGCAAAGTACTTCTACAAGACTGGCAGGATTCTAACCCTGTACTCACTCTGGATGGTGAGCAGATAGACGTAGTCGAGAAGTTCGTGTATCTGGGTAGCTGCATAAGTGCTGGTGGGGGTGTGAGTAATGAGATCAATGCACGAATAGTGAAAGCCAGAGCGGCTTATGCCAATCTGGGCCACCTTTGGTGCCTTCGTGATGTTAGTCTGGCTGTAAAAGGTCGGATCTACAACGCGTCGGTGAGAGCAAATCTGCTCTATGCCTGGGAAACCTGGTCTCTCCGAGTTGAGGACGTTAGACGACTCTCTGTGTTCGATCATCGCTGTCTCCGAAGGATTGCTGACATCCAGTGGCAACACCATGTTAGTGATGCAGATGTTCGGCATCGTGTGTTCGGGCACAGAGATGATAAGGCAATCAGTGTCACCATCTTGAGACACTGACTTCGGTGGCTTGGACATGTTCTACGAATGTCGTTCCGGAGAATTCCACGCCGTGCATTATTTGCCGACTCTGGGACTGGTTGGAGAAAGCGGAGAGGTGGTCAGTGTATGACATGGTGTCGGGGTATGAAAGAGAGCTGCCAAGGGTTGGCTTCTGTTGGTCCTTCACGACTCTCTGGCTGGGGTCTGGGAGATGGTGCGACACAGTGGCTAGAGACGTTATCAGATATGGCTCAGAATAGAAGTCAGTGGCGATCCTGCTGTAACCTTCTTTTACTTTCTTCGTAAAAAGTGGTTGTATCTTCCTAACTGAAAGATTTCTTGTGATTGTACCTTTCCGTTCCCCCCATTACTACTATTAGTATTATTACACTACCTTACACTAATCTGTTCGTTATTGCTTTTTTTCTCTTCGAATTCTGATTGTTTTGTGTGGCGCATATATATTTGATGCCCTCTTGTACCAATATTTGTGTTCAAATAAATAAATAAATAACTCCACGGAACTACTGTCTGTAAACACAAGGTACGAGGCAGAGGTCTACTCACCGATGATTGTGGTTAAAGATCTTAACATAATTCAATCCATTTAATTGCAATAATCCAGACAAACTAATTCTCTTTTTATAAGTCTTGAATCGCTTAAGTTATAGCTTCTGGTTTCATTCATTTCACTTGAATAACGTTCCTTATACTTAGTTTTCTATGGTAATTAACACCATTGATTTAACTCGTTATCTGTGATCATGCTTATTTATTAATCCGAAATGTGATAACTTGGAGATGAACATTCTTTTATACAGTATACAAGTCCATAAACACGTTTTCCTCATACAAATAATAGGAGTGGGTGTCTTACACAGACAGCACACATTTACCCAAACCAAGATCCTGGTACTGACACTAGGAACTTAATAGCCAACCTTTTGACACACTGAGTAGTGGAATTTAACAATTAGTACGATAGTTTTGGGTATTTGATGATGAAGCAATCAAATGAGATTTTGATATTTCTTGCTCAGTACAAATCTGGTAGGATTGATAGCACAAACTGGATTATTGACAAATTAGGACTGCTGACTTCTATCTCAAAAATCTGAATGTTTGTGACATTCTGAACGTTTAGAGGAAATAATTAAGATACTTACCTTTTGGTGTTATGTTGTTAATGTTTTCTACATCGGCGCTTTCAACATCGTTCGCCAGCACATATGGACGTTTTTTTATGGGCTGCTGAATATGACTATTTAAACTGGATTCCGACAAACCATCTGATATCGACGATGAAATCTTATAAAAATCGGACAAAATTTTTATGCACTATATATTTCAGATGGGTAACTTGGCAACAAGAGATATTTAGTATACAAGTGAATAACAGATTAGCAAGGAAAGTATTTCAAAACAAAGCGTGAATCCAAATAGGGTATAAAATGGTAAGACGAAAACACTGTGGAGGTGCAGAAATAACATTACGATGTGGAACAATGGATTTGGCTGCCTACAAAGAAGCCTTAAGTAGAATGTTATTCAGAGAATCATCTGCTTTCATGATACCTTTATTTTAATCAAGTTTCGGGTGAATTTAAGGGTATATTACTTGATCTTAAGACACATTACATGATAGTGCATGTTTAAAATCCATTTTAACCTCCCAACAGACATACTTTGGATGTAACTAGAAACCCTATAGCATGAAATGGAAATGACTTCATGCAACATGTTTACATACAGCTTTGAGCCAGACTTTACGTGAAGGCTTGTGAGATTACTTGACAGTTTAAATTTAAGGGGAACTGAAACTGCAAGCTGTCGATTGAAAGGTAACCGTATCAAGCACTGAGTCATCGACCTATGGGAAGTGATTATACACATTAGTACGATGAATCGTATTAGGATCACAAATGGATTCATCGAGTGCATAACATAACAATTTGATAAAAATCGAGTAATGCATCGACAGTTGTTTTTATGGGTGTAAATCGCTACGTAAAGATAAGACTGCCAGAACACAGCCCATACAATCTCAAGTAGCTACAAATAATAACGACATAGCACGAGGAAGCGCAAAGAAATAGAAATAAAGATAGCAATGGTTGAGAATTAAAAATATGAAGCTACAGAAGCAATCACAAACGAATAAAGTGGGAAAATGAAAAGTACGTCACAATGTGTCGATCAAGTCAAGACTCTGACAAAATGCAGAATCTTTTGATAGTCTTGAGCAAATATGCGTGTGCGAGACGTGTTTCTCCGCTTCTAAATGTTAAATGCTTCAAAACTAGTTTCCATCAACCCGTGAAGTAATGGTGAGTGGACTACTAAGGTGTAGTTACTCTATAAGCCTCGTCAAGTCCGATGGCTTGCTGCCTGGTGATGGGTCGGTACCGATTCAGAGCTCAGTTGGTTTTCAACAACTTTTGTTATTTGTGGAGAAAGCGAAGTGTTTGTTTATTAGTGTTTATTGAGTGACAGACCGCTCTATATTACTGCGTGGTTGTGATATCTATCAAAGTAAAAGACATGCGCAGAGTTCCGGATTTCGAAGTACAAGAATTATGAGGATTTTGTAACGACCGAGTAGGTAATACTGCGGTTAAGCATAGGATTTTGGGTGAGTACGTTAGTCTGACTGTTTATCGACTGAAGTAGTTTACTTGTGTTATACGTATGTTTAATGACTGTCTACCTTGAAGTTTAGTCGCGGCTGGTGTGTAAGTATGCTAGAGCAAAGCTAGGGGTACCCAGGCGGATATACTAGGAGTTCAAGTTCGAGGGAAATCTAGGATTGTTGGTTAGTGTTGACCAACATGGCTCACAGTAGGTCATTTATCCAGACGCACTCACCCCTATTCTCTCTCTAAATATTGGGTTCCAGTATTCTTCTATACACATGTTACTTTTTTCTCGAACCGTAACGTCTTGTCATTATTGATGCAATAACCGACTTTTCGTATATTTAGAGCTTTAATTTTGTCTCATCATTGTGATGTTGAATGGAAACTTGGTCTAAAGCACGTTAGTGCTAGGTTCGACAACGATTATGACTAGCTAACTGGTACTAAACCAAGCACCATGAATCAAAAGTCACCATTGAGATCGAAAATAGACCTGACGTAGTAAGCAATGAGTAACATACACAAAACACGTGGTAATTATTCTTATCAACCTGCTAAACTAGATAACTTACTGTCGTAAGCGGGCGTTTCTTGGTTGGGTTAAAGACAGTGTTTCTTACTAAAGTGTTTCTAGCTTGGATAGAATCTCCAGAGCAATTAGAACACACAACTCGCCCAGCCGAGAAGCTTTGCAATTGATGGCCTAGAAGTTTTTTCAACACTACCAAGTGAAGCTTACGTAATCCATATATTTCAATTTCTTTTCCTTTTATCATTTCCTCCATCTGCTGCAAAGTTCTGCGAAAAATCAGCTAAATTGATAGTCCTACCGAACGAGAGCTTTATTTTGTTCACGTAAGCGAGAAATCTCATTATTAAATTCTATAGAAACAAAAATGAACAATTAACTGTCAACGACTTACCGCTCTGAACACATAGGAACTGCCGTCGTATTTCTAGAGGAGATATGTTACTGAAGCATTTGCGACCTACTAGAAACAGAAGCGGAAATCTCTCTTGAGACTGACCGCCTCAGACTAACCAGGGAACTACTGAACGTATATTCTAGAGATAGAAGATTGTTCGAGTCCATCACTGTATCAAGCGCCTTGACAAATTACTCTCCACAACCGATCCTAACTAACAACATATCCCAACATGGAAGCGCTCCAATTCAATTCTCAATGTTAATACAGGATGTTTAGTAGCTAACCATAGCTCCTTATTTTAAAATACCCTTAGTCAAGTAGCCATAGGTACATCCATGAATAATACTATTAGCATTAGGTATAGATGGAAATTTCATTCGTATCTGCTAAAATCGTGTATGCTAGTTGACTTGTCGACCATGCCAAAGGTAACCTCTTAATTAATGTAGCCTATTTTTTGGTGAACCAATGTAGGGTGTAGTCGATGAGAAAAAATCAATTATGAGGTCATTAACTGTAACTGTGCTCATGCTTGCCTGAACCAAGTGAAGATACAAAGTACAAAATTCTGTATCACTATAAATCATCTTAGAAGTTTCCTCTAAATCAGCTGAGATAACGTAAAACAATGAGAACTTTTGATTTAATAGATCCAGCTTCATGTGAAACTTCAGGATATCCTGAAAAACTTTCTCAGGGGCTGCTTGTGGTAACTCCATAAAATGAATGGTTTACAAGCATTCGGTATTTCTACTGACTTTTAACTTTGATGGGAGCACATGGTCAGGTATCACCGCCAGATCTCTGCAAGACCTCACACAAAACTCTTCCTAGATATTAAGTAACCAGTTCGCATGTCACAGGCTCCCCTACCACTGTGCGCTATCAAACATATCTTTTCTCCCTAACTTTCTTTTATGTCTTTGACTTTAAATCGTTAAAAATATGTACTTGGGTACCAGTATTTTTTTCAAATAAATCTGGACAGACCTAATCTAGTTCCGATTATCTTACCCTATTATGTTTACATGATGATTCCTGGTCGATGACTCATTGAGAGAATACTGGATCTAACCTACAGTCAGTACGAAGTCAGTTCTCGCTGTGTACCTGTCCAGGGTAGTCTGATAATCGTATGATCATCATCATTAATTTTCCTATCTATTTACAGCGTGTGGTTCTCTGGCTTTAATTTATGTTCGGTTGAAGTCAGATGCATATCTTCCTTTAACTTTCAGATGTCTTTAGAGAGATGTGTTGGGAGGTCGTCCGACATTACTACTAATATTCAAGCCTCCAGTATCCTGGCCCAACCTGCTACTTGAATGGGAAACCAAGATTTATTTCCGGGGTATAATTAGTTTACCCGGATCAAAGCACACTCATCTAATCACTCAATAATAAAGATATTTCCACTAAAAAATGGAGCCAAATCTTCATCCAATGCTGTACGTATATGCTTCCCCGTGAAATTAGGTCAGTTTATGCCCAGCAGCACGCACTCATTAGCACCTCTCACTTTACATTTGACCATGAACTGATTTCCGATTCCTCAGGTCTATCAAAACGTGTCTAAGACTAAGTTAACCCACAAATAATTCTTTGTGTAGAAATAGAAGTTATATGCACATGTCATCAGATAGTCCGTGCTTTCTACAGCACACTCTAGACAGCATCAAGCTGAAAGTAGCAGAAACATATTTTGCACTCAAAGATTATATGTTCAGTGTGCCGAAAATGGTTCCTAAAATGCTTTACATTCTCAAAGACCTTGCTAAATATTTGAAAGAATGTAAATGCTATACTGGTGACAATGTGGAGAAATTTAATTGTAAGCTATCTTGACTGAGGTATATTACTGACGTCCTAGAAATTGGCCAACATATAGGCAGTTTGTCTCGGTCAATGTGAAATACGATTCATCCGTAAATTTGTCGTACTTAACAGACACAACCGTCGTGCAATGACTGGCGAGTTTACTAACTTAGAGAGTAAAAGAATCAAACTGAATGAGAATCCAGAATGCCATCGATGGAATGAAGGATTAAGTAACGATAAAGATTATGATTAAAAACCACTACATGGAGGCCATTGTCACTGTTTAACAAGCGCTGACACTATTAAAACATTTTAGGGTCCAAACGTCCTCGATTCCGCTCCCTGAATAATCGTAGTTCCATCGTAGCTGATCGTGATCGTCGCACTGCGGAGTGTGGAGGGATACAGTGAGTAGAAAACAAAAATCTTCCGTACAGTAATAAACAATAGTTCTTACTTACTCAACGTTCATTTTGTAAATTTGTGAACTATTCACTTATATTTGGCATTTCGGCCAATACGTTTGTTCTAGCTACCATTATTCCCACCTCGTATAATATATCAAGACTAATTACATGTGTGAGACCGCAGAAACAAGAAGCCAAATACGGGTTAAGTTGGGTGAATTTATTTCAGGTTCTCTTTAACTTAGGCAGACATTAAGAATGACAAGCGGGAACCGAGGCTTAGTGGAGGACGAAAACGTGTTAACTCCGTTTGGTAGAACGTCATTCACTATTTTTGACTAGCAAAATGACAAGGCAGAGTCATGTGGTGGATAGGATAAGCGACAAACATACATGCTCGTATAAAAAGTCAAGTTTATAGAAGAATAACTGACAGGATCAAAACATGACTCAAGAAGAATAAATTGACTGATCTGCTAGGAATCTACAAATATTCGTATGGCCCGAATATAGCACTAAATAATACAGGTGAGCAAATCGGTGCTTTAAGGAAAATAGACCTAGTCCAAAGTTGTAGGATTGACAAGATGTGATTACCTAATGTTATTCTGAAATTATATCACTTTCTGTACTGACTCGTCCTGCGTGACAGTCAGCAGTTATTTGTAAAAACCTCTAAAGAATACAGTTAAACTGGCGATAGAACAACATATTGGTATGCGTAATTGTCTAATTTTGGGTCAAAAATAAGCATGATATGCTTCAATTGGCAGCTCTACAATTGAAACAAATAAAGGTCTATTGGCATATGGAATGGATACACGATGAACCTGTACAAAACATTTTTTTATTCTGGAGGGGTTTGAAAGTGATATTGACTAGACTCCCTGCAACATGAATGGAAGGTTCAAAGGTCAATGATGAGTATACTCACCGGACCGTGAACACTAGAAATAACCGTTGGCTTGCACGTGCGGTCCATATAGATCCAGGTGGGTTGTAAGACGGCAGGGATCAGCACAACAGGAGTGAATTTTAGATATATACATGTAGTACTTAGGGTACTAGGACCTATCCTCATCTGGTTACATCAAACTTTCACCGGTACGCGATAACTGTTTGATACAGAGTGATGGCAAAACGTTATGAAGCATTGCTATCTGGTGACCACACGTTAATATTGGTTTCCATTCAGGTTAAATTTGAATTTTTTGGATGACGCTAGTCATTGTGATCACAACAGTTTTCGATGAGGCTGCATTAAGAATGACATGCATGGCAGTCCCAAAAACTCCACAGCGATTGTATACCAGGGACATTTTGAGATAAAAATGCTTGAGACATAGGAGGGGCTGGATTTATTCAAATGAAAGGTATTAGATGAGTGGATTTTGTGCCAGTCCATTTAAGACTCCATCAGAGATAGAATTGTAAACAAACATGTGTTTAAAAAAGAAAGAATCGACTAGGTGAGACCAAATAAGCGGGGATAAACTCCAAATTCTTGTTTACTTACTTACATAATCGTAGTTATTCCGTATTATTCTATCATATATATAGTTAGAGGAGTGACGTTTGAACTTTTTAATTTTCTTCATGATTGATTGGGCTACACTTGACACGTGTACAACATAATAAAGTGTTATTTTCATTTTAGAAAACGTCCTATTATTCATAGTTTTTTTGTAGGTAAGCCTCTCGTGAATACGGCTAGTGGCGAAAGCTTTGAGACTTAATTTATTTTCTACATTTGGGGTTTGAATAATGCAAACGAAGAAGAACAACTAAATGCAAATATAAGGGAAATAAGGAAGACACGTAATAACAATAATATATTTCTGACATAGTAGTTAAGGTATTTTACAACATCTGTCTACTGATTAGTTACCTCTCAATTAAGGTTATTAAATAAACGAGACCAGTGCAACTGTTTAGTAGGTTAATAGATGTTTTGAAATAGCTATTGAAAGACGCTTGGTATTGGCTGTGATCTTGACAAACACGTACGTTAGCTTTGTGTTCCAGACACAAAAAGGAGCCCTCTGGTCATGCACTACTAACATAGTTTCAGAAAATAAGAACAAAAGAGCAACAAGGTATTTGGATATAAGACATTAAGAATGCTTAAGCATTTGTAGGAGAACGGACAAAGCTATTGTATATGAAATAAAACTCATACTACCTGCTATTACTAGAATGAAGTTTGGTTGAAGAGTCTTCAGATAATAGAATATAGTGATAAAGTATAATGAGCTGTGATATGTGGTAATGGAGGAAAAGTTAAATTTTGAATTGGGAAGGCTGTTAATTAAACTCGAGAGTGCATCGAAAGAGAGAAAAGTGTTTACAAACGCCCAGAAGTTGTCTACATTATTTATCAAATGCCAACTACTATATCATAATGAGAGCGCCTGAATTAGCATGTTATGGATTACCTAGGTAAAATAGTGAAGCCAACGAGCAGAAGAGAACAAACTTCGTACCACTGATTTACAGCTTCATTCTCAATCATAAAAAACCCGAAACAAAAATGTCCTACACCATAAACGTGGATGGATTGAAGCCATCGCCCTCACCGTCGATGCTTACTCATCAGTAACTTCACCATCCCTCCTTTTGTGATGTTGGGCTGTTTTAAGGTTATTTTCAAAAAAAATTATGTTCTACACGATGCCCCATTTTTCATTTCCTTTTGGAAAATGCTATTTCTAAAGGAGCTGAATAGGAAATAAAAGGATTGCTCTTTAAAACATCTTCACTTGTTGTGGTAAAACAGCTTGACATTTCCTCTTTGTCAACAAAGATGGTGATATCTCGGGATTTACGGTGAATTATGTCTACTTTTCGCCTAAATTTTTAACTAATTGTCTAGTTCAACCCTACATTTCGGCAAAATGACCTGTTTCCCACATCAGCCTCCGTTAATTACACGGTAAATT